TCCTTTAAAAGATAAGATTACTTGAGTCAATGGCAAAGCTATTTGAACTGGTAAATAAAGAAGTTATAAATATAGCCTTGATTTTTAGGAAAACAGTAGTGACTGTTCACGCTGCACCCAATCCCAATTTGAATTGTAAATTTCATGAGTGTTATGCATCACTGCACTGACCCATCAGGCTAAATCTTATCAGTAACAACATGCTTAGACTTTAGGATGTTCACATATCTTGAAAATACAACATTTGAAAGCCAAGGTATGTAATTCAGACACTCGATGTTTGTGTTTTAGCCTTCCCTCAACCCTGAAACAACTGGAAAGCCTGGGAATCAGATGCGAGCAGTGGCTCCTCATGCTGGAGTGTGGGGTAAGAGCGGCCAGTGCCCATTCGGATTTAAATTATTGGATAAACAAAAAAGTTATAAGTTCAAGCTCCGTTCCACAGTTTCTCCTTCTCACCTCTGTAACATGTCATTAATGATTGTCCTGATTGTGTTTCAGAAAACCCCCCTAGTGGCAAACAGATGGTGTCTAAAATGCTGGTTATCAAGAAGGTTTCCAAGGAGGACCCCAGCACAGCCTTCTCTGCGGGGTTTGCCACTGCTGGCGCCCTCCCCACCAACGGCAACAAAGCTCCCATCGCAGGCTCCAGTGTCTACAAGAACCTGGTTCCAAAACCTGCTGTGGCCCCCACCAAAGTACGACTCACTGTGATGTGTTATTTAGCAGAGATGCAAGAAAGGCTAGTCACACATATTTGGATTAGATAGAAATCAAGCCTTGCATACTGTAGCAGTGCTGTGTGTGTGCTGGGCTGCTTGTGACAGAGAGTCATTATACGTTTTCTCTTCCAGAGCACCCAGTGGAAATCCGGTGGTAGAGAGATCACAAAGTCTGGCCTCCACATGCCAGGCCGAGATTCAGTCTTCACCAGCCCCGTCTCTGCAGCCAAACCCAGCACCCCAGTCAGTGCACCACAGCACAACATCCCAAAAGAGGTGAGGGCAACCAGACAAGAAGAGTACCAGACACGTAGGGATTGTCTAGTCCCAACAAGAACCGTTTTCTTAAATGATGTAATTTACTCAGACTTCTTACTAACATACTAAACTGCGCAGCGAGCGCAGGGGGAAATTTCCAGTGTGGCACTGCGTGTTGAACTCTTTGTTCTTATACTGTAACTCCATGCATGACATGTAGCTGGCCTACTCCTGTGTAAGTAAATGACAGGTTTTATCTAAACATAGTAATTATGTGTCCGTGTGGTTGCTGACTGAGATGCTTACTCACTTGCACACACTAAGTTTTCCTTTGCAGCAGTGTATGTGTTCCTTCTCTCCAGTGTATTAAAATGTCTATCTATGGTCAGAAACTTTAATATTCACCAGAAAGTATCTCTGAACGGCCTTTGTGCAACTGCTCCAAAAGCCAACGTGCAAAAGTTTTTATCACAGCATCCAGTCGGCTCCGATTCCTAATCTGGTAGATTTTTAAAACAGTCATTGTTGACCTACTTTGAAATTTTACTCTCCAGATTGACTTGTTATCTTATAGGTTGGTGTCTCAATTGTAAAAAAAAAAACAAACAATTATTTTAACTCGCTTTTCTACTTTCCTGGCTTCTCCTTTCCCCGTGTGTCGTCACACCTACAGCACCCTTCCAGCACGACTCCTCCCATAGACATCGCCCCGTCGAGGCTTAAGCTGATGCGTCGCGGTCCAGACCGTAAGAGCGAGTTCCTGCGAGCTCTGAAGGACGAGGGCACTGGAGAGCTGACGACAAGCAGCAGCCCGGGAACATCAGGAGAGGTAGGCAGCAGTTTGGCTTATTGTCATAAACCATCACGCAGGAGGGCAGGTAGTGACAGAGATAAAAGAGCGCACTGTGGGAGTGTGTGACACAGCACTGTCAAGCTGTCACATGTTAATTCTCTGCAAGTATAAGACAGTTTTTGTGCTTAATAATGCTAAAGTCCCACAGAAGAGCCTTAGTTTTTCTGCACATAAAAGACAGAAAATAAAAATCTGAACTCCTTAATGGCTCCATTAGTCGTCATCATCAAGGATGAGTCTTTTTTAATCACAGTGCTTCTTGTAACAATTACACCATGATTGTGCCCAGGTCTCTTTTAAAAAAAAAATGAAATGGCATTTGTCGTATTATTTGACTGTGGATCTAACAGACTGTTTTTGCAACAGAGCAAACATTATTTTCAGAATATAAAAACAGACGGTAAATACAGGAAGAAAGATGTGCAACAAAGGCCCCTGGCCGAGGCAATAGGCCACTAAGACACCACCCCAAAGAATAAAAGATTTTTCAAACTGTGTTCTGTTCCTGTGTGAATTCTCTCAGGGTGAAAGCAGCACCCCAGAGCCCAAAGCCTACAGCGAGGAAGTCTGCCATGAAAACGGTCTGTCCTACTCCCTCAGTGACTCAGACACCGAACACCTGTCCAGCTCCCTGGAGGCAGAGCACAGGTAGAGCGCTCTTAACAGCCTTGTTTAAACACTCGCGCGCACGCACACACACACACACACACACACACACACACACACACACACACACACACACACACACACACACACACACACACACAGTGAACTAAGTAGAAAATGACTTTACTTCTGTAGGTTGCTGAAGGCCATGGGCTGGCAGGAATACCCAGAAAACGATGACAACTTCCTGCCTCTGACGGAGGATGAACTGAGAGAGTTCCAAACTAAAACTGAACAGGTGAGACCTCAGAGGAAATCCCTGATTAAACTGACCCTTTAGTCAAACTGTTATTTGATCATTTCTATCATTTCCATCTTTTCATTTCTAAATTGAACATAAGCAAAGAACAACGTGGCATCTCATTCACACACTAACTGCCCGTGTCCTCCGAACAGCTGAAGAGAAACGGCATGCAAAGGAATGGGGTTCTCCCGAGGGCGCGGGGTGTGACCCTCCACTTCACCCCCTGGAGGAGTGTGGCGGAGGCGCACGTCGAGGAGGGCTCCGAGTCCGAAACCAGTAGCAGCAGCCAGACCTCTGACGATGACGACTGCATCAAATCCTAACGTGGCTTTATGGAACAAAAAGAATAAAAAAACAACACAACAGCCAACACCACATCCCAGCAAGCAATCCCCTTCTTCCTCTCTCATCTTTGTTTTTAGAGCACCATTTTGAATTTCTTTCGTTTTGATTTTTTTTTTTTTTTTTTTGATTTTTTTTGTTGTTGTTCTTGCACAAGGGAAAAACCAATCATATCCCAGTGAAGGGGGAGATTCCTGCTCCGCCAGACGTCGTTTTCCCTGCGTTTCCTCCTTCACTGCAGTCCCTGCCCTTTGACCCCCCCTCCTCCCCTTCTTCCTTTTTCTTCCTCGCTTTGTGGAACTGAAGTGTTCATCAAGAAAAGAAGGGCAATGAATGCACACTTGATTCTGCTTCAAACAGACTAACTCATTTCATTGATGATGCTGATGACACATTATTAATGATATTAATAAAAATTGGTTCCTGACAAGCTGATATGTTTCAATATGAATCTGGCTACTGTGGTGTTTTGAGTCCATATCTAATTCACTGTGTAATGATGCCAAGAGCAACTGCAGCAGCTTTTCCCACCGAAAATATTCTTCATCTGTGCTGGATGTAATTGGTTTTCAACCTATTTAAATTCACTCAGAGAGGATGGGGCTGTGCCTACACTGTCCAAATATTAATTTTAGAATCAAAAATATTTTTAGTTTTCCAGTGTAGTGCAGGAGTTAGTTACTGTTTTATTCTGTTAGTACCTATTGCTCATATTTGCTTCAGATATATAAAATATGTCAAGAAAAGGTAAGAAATTATGTATATTTTTCTACTTAAAATATAAGAGATTTGATTAAAAGGCCAAGATTTTAGTTATTTAGAAGTCAGGATGTTCAGTTTTGTCCACATTGAACTGGGCTTTTTGACTTGTCACAGGTGAAGCACAGGTGTTACTAATATAATTAACAACAGTTCAGAACGCACAACACCAGGACCCTGAAACTGAAGCCGCTAACTGGAGTTCAGCCGTCATTACTTTCATTACTTTCCACCTGTGACTTTCCTACTGTAAGGTAAGGCCTGTTACAGTTGTACAGTTTAAACAGGCACAATGAAACTAAGAGGGTTTAGGGAGATGTCAGTGAAGCCTGGTCCGAAGGCACCCACAGGCCTGAGGAGAGGTCTAATCAGCCAGATGTGGAAACACCTGTGCGAGTGCAGGAACATTTCTAAAATGTAGATGTGTTAGGAAACAGTTTCCAGGTCCTTTTACATAAACTAAAGATTTACATTTGAACCAGTCTTGTAATATTACCAGTAAATTTCACAATTAATTCTCCACTTACTGCGACTTCATTAGTTTATGTTTGACTGATGCAGAAACTAATGATGTCCCATAGAAAACTCAATTTTGAATGGTTTCACAAAATGTGTATCTTCAAATTGAAGTACAAGTAAAGTTCAGTTTTTAATCTAAATTAACTTAAAAAGAAAGACCAAGAATGTGTAAGTTATGAAGTGAGGCAGTGCTATCAACAATAGAGTTAGGACAATGATGGAAAATATATTTTTGATGATTAAAGTAACATGTCAGATCATAGTGCACCGTTTAGATTTTATTCTTTTGAAACTGCCCGAGTATAAAAGATAAAAATAGCATTCCCATGGATACTGAAGCCATGTATGCTAGACTGCAAGATTTTGCAGAATTTAACACTTGATAGCTGATGGGGAAAATAAATTTTCCTGTACAGTTAATTGTATTTTCCGTTTGGTAGAGAAGTGCAAAGACTCCAGACGTGGAGCTACTGATTGACTATTGCCAGAGCTTTCAAGCTTGGCCTGACTATAAACCATGTGCTGGCACCAAATCCTAATAACCACATCAAAATACATCACCCACCAAAGCCACATGACTGGGACTCAGACCAAAGTTTTATCAAATTATATTCTTTATTCAACTTCATAGGTTACATACGTGAACAAACACACACACTAACACAACAACAGGCATAGAAAAAGATACACATATTTACAAACAGCAAACAAGTGTAGCAACAGTAAGAGCTTGGTGTGATGGTGAATCTCTTCTTGGGCCGAGACAAAAATCTGGAGGGAATTCAGCTTCACTGACTGAAAGAGAGAGAGAGAGAGAGAGAGAGAGAAGACTTTATTTAAACCCACGGCAGCAAAAACACGTCACCTGACATTTCAGACTTTAACCCTGTACACCATCATAAAAGAGAGAACGGTCTATTAGGCTCCGACATCTTGGCGATCTACTTGTTCCGAGTTATAAACCGTTGAAGGTGCATTAAATAGTAACACTGCAACGACGTACCTCTCGACTTCCATACTTTTAGTGTGTCCATTTGTGTCTCCATTGGCTTTGTGAACACCGTCAGTGTGAGGCTGCTCCTTCACGCCGTTAGTGTGACCGTCGTCCTGCTTCACCTTCTTAAGCACACCTTCCTTCACAGGACTCTCCTCTGGTTTCCTCTGAAATACAGCACACAGGTTCGTTTCAAATGAGATTCAGATCTGTGCAATTCATTTGTTCTAATTATAAAAAAACAAAACAAACAAACAAACAAACAAACATCTAGCTCCCCTCACCTTCTTTCTGACCAGGTGGGAGATGTCAGAGACTGGAGCAGCGGAGGTGTGTCCGTTAGTGGAACTGACACCGTTGGTTGATGTGCCGTTAATCTGGATGGAATCAGACGAAACACGACACATCAGTACTCGTGAAAATAATAATAAAAAAAAGTAATTGTGGGCAATACAATCTAGACATGACACTCATTAAAAAACAAACAAACAAACATTGGATTTGGTCCATACACTGTGACGATAAAGTGCAACTTACTTTTGAGCTGGAGGAAGCGTCACCGTTCTGTACAGCAGACCCAGGAAATGCAGAGGAAGTGGAGCCTCCATCCTAACATTCAAAAAGAAAAAAAAAAAAAAGTTAAAATTAAGTTAATTCTAACTCACCGTTGGCTTTTACAAAACATGCTGCAGTCAAACTCCACAAAGGATTAAATACATCCTCCTGCAGCACAATCCTCCATCAGATACAGAAACATTACGGCCTACAGGAGGCCAGAGACAAGATTTAAGACCAACACCTTTAAAAAGGCATTTTTTGAAGAAACTTAATTCAATGCTTGCTAAGTTCTTAGTCCTGCAGAGACTCTGTATAACAAATGACAGAAATAGGGATTCAATATTTGTGTTTAATGATACGTCTGAATATTTAAGAGTGTAAGTGCCAGAGACACTGAACTTAAATTTGAGATGATCATGTGATAGTCCCGTGAACGGAGTAGAACGGAGTCTCTTTACAGTCTGAAGAAAACAATCCCCCATCCCCAACTCACCAGCACACCCTTCACAGCCTCAGACGCAGTGGTCACCGTTTTCTGTCCCTCTGTGGCGTCCTCCACCTTCTCCTGGATCTCCGGAAGCAGAGCCTTCAGCTCCTCCATCTCCTTCCTCTCATCTGGCAGAGCCTCCGGACCCTCGGCCTTGTCGAGCAGCTCCTGTAGTTTGTCTGAAAGACAAGGCGGACACATTGACGTACGGCTCAGACTCTGGCACCGATCGTACCATTTCAGAGTGGTGACAAGTGATAAACTCGCCGTAGCAGCCAGCCCTGCTTACCCAGCCTGGTCTTTATGACAGAGATGGAGCTGTTGAGCTCCTCGATGGCCTGGCTGTACTGAAGGTTCAGGCTGTAGGTCAGGCCGAGCTGGTAGTGAGTCTCGGCGAGCAGGCGGCTGTTCGAGTCCAGGTGCTTCACCTGCAGCTTCAGACACTCCTGGAAATCCTCCAATGCCTGTGTGTAATTTCCTGAGAAGAAAAATGCAGCAACTCAGCACCCAATCCTCAATAAAGACACAAGGGACAATTTCAGGTGTAAAGGTGTTAGTTTTCCAGACTGTGCCTCTGTTTTCTTATCAAGTTATAGAATCGTCTCAAGGAGTTGTTTATGGTTTATTGGATTCCCGTTACTTATTACTCTTCCTGGGCACAATTTTATTTTAGTAATATCTACCTGACTCAACTTTTCAGACAGCTTCTAATGTGAGCAAGAACTTAGAACTGCAGCTAACAATTATTAACAACTATTCTGTTCGTCATTCAAAAGAAATTGAGCTCACACAACCCCACGTTAAAAACCCCAAACTATCCCTTTAAAATTGACGACCACTTCAGCCCTAAAGATCTAACAGGACAGAAGATCTGTTGAGCGACTTGTTCGTACCCGATTCAGAAGAAACTTCGCCCAGTTTCAGGTGGGCCTGAGCTGCCATCAGCTGATCATCCTTAGTCTCTTTCCTTATCAAAAAGAAAGAAAGGTTAGCATGGAAGCTGTAGCTCAGTGATGCTAACTATCACGGCTCAGAACATCAGGGGTTCCCGTCACCTTTTGTAGATGACTTTGGCCACTTCCAGCATCTCCCAGGCCAGCTGCAGGTTCCCCACCTCCTCATCATCACTGTCCTGAAAAACACCAGCGCAGATTTAAATCTGACACCTAAAGTCACATGCTCAGGCGAGTCACTCTGATGTACTTAAGCCGATTGGTCAAGTACCTTCTCAGCGGCGCCATCTCCCTCGCCCTGCTCTTCTGCGTCGCCCTCCATTTCTGCCTCATCACTGTCCTCTTCCTCCTCCCCCTCTGAAAACAGAGACAAAGTGTCTGGATTATTTGGGCAACATGCCATTACAACTATCATGGTGCCATTTACAATCAAGGCTATATTTAGAGGACAGAGGAAAAAAAGGAAACTCACCTTCTCCTGCCTCCGTCTTGTCTGCCGAGTCCTCTTCCTTGCTTTCCTTCTCAGTCTCCTCGTCTCCCTTCTTCTCTTCATTTTCTGCAGATTCGCTTTCATCAGCCTCGCTCTTCTTTTTCTCACCCCCCTCTTCCTTTGCTACTTTCTGCTCTTTACCAGCCTCAGCCTTTTCTGCATCACCGCTCTTCTCCGCATCTTCGCTCTGCTTTTCAACCTTCTCAGTGTCTTCATTTTTCTTCTCAGCGTCTTCATTTTTCTTCTCGGCATCTTCATTTTTCTTCTCCGCCATGGCGTCGTACACCTGAACCCTCAGCTCGTCTCTGGTCTTCTCTGTTGGCATCAGAGAGAAGAGTTAGGTTGAGCAGTGTCAACAATGTCCTTTAGAATATGAATGCTCAAATAGCACAAAGAAACCCCCAAGAAAAATAGATAGAATTTACTCTTAAGATACGACACCATTTCTCTTCCTCACCATCAATGTTTTCTGTGCTCTCAACTTTTGAGTCTTTGGGTTTCTCCTCATCCGCCTCCGCCTCCTCCTCCTCCTCTGGCACTCCCTCCAGAGCATTACCCAAAACTGAGTTTTCCATCCTACGACAACACAATCAGTTAGGTCTGCACGCTTCCACTACTTTTTAAAAACACAGTGGAGTGGATTCAACTGGAGATTCCCACATTTATGAAAAAATAAGTCAAAACTGATAAACTGTTAAAAAGTTTACCGTGCCAAATCCAGCAGCGCTTTACCACACCAGAAGAAAGCCTCTCCACACTCATCTGCTGTGTCTCCATACTTTTTAGCTCTAAAATAAATTAAAAAAAACACATCAAAAACAATTTTTACTTGTGTAATTAGAGCTGAAACAATTAGTTGAAGAATTGATTTGTCAACAAAATTCATCCTTTCTGATACATAATCTTTTGGGCAATATTTCAAGGAAAATTTGCAAATCTTTGATGGTTCCAGCTTCTGAACTGTGAGGATTTGCTGCTTTCCTGTGTCTGACATTACAAACAAACAGTCATTTGAATATTGCTGGGTCTTGGACCGTTGGTCAGACGTCACCTTGGGCTCTTTTTTGATGTCTGGTAAACTAAATGAATCATTTGATAGAAATTGTTAGCTACAGCACAACATGTCATTATCATCATCAACATGAAAGCACACACTCATTCTTCCTCATCAGACTGTACGCAGGGGACAATTACATTTCCTATAAACTGCAAGATACATTCAACAAAAAATGAAAAGCATGACAAAGTTATAATATGCTACTCTTTCATTTTTATTCACATAATGTGGTTCAATCTCTGGAAGTCCAAAGTGTGTGGACACTATATTTCTGATTGCCTCAATCTGCACACGAGGAAAAATCAAACGAACTGCAGATATCTTTGTGCCTCATACTTATTATCAACGACTGTTTTCTTCTGTGCAGGGATCCTTTTCAGTTTCATGTAAACTAAACTAACTGATAAGACCCTGAGAATGTATCATGTAGACGCACTTCTTTCAGCTGCCCGTTAGTTTGAAGCCCGCTGCTGCAGTTGTGTGTGATGGACAGATTTAATGTGTTTGAAGCTCCTCCGGACAGTCTCTTTTGTCCGGTAGTTAACTCACAGCATGCTGCAGGCCTCCTGAAGGGCGCTCACCGCCTCCACCACCTTCCCCATCACCAGGTGCTTCTTGCCCTCGCCGATTAGCTTGTTGGCCTCTTCCATGTTATCCACACTGGACGGAGAGAAAACAACATTTCAGCTAAACTGTGTGACCAAGAACTGAACTTCTGACCCGAGTTCAGCCTGAAAGTCTTCGTTACAGCAAGTAGAGTGTACAAAACACAAAATGTGACGTTGGGTAACTACATACCTTGACTGAAGGGGGAAACGACTGAAATTTCAAAGTAGTGTCCGGTGGTCGGTTCCTCAGCTCGTCTCTCGCGCCGCTCACACTGGCTGATCTGTTGTTTCAATTTGGCGCGAAATATCCCTGCCCTTTCCTGTCGATTTCCGGGTTTGTAAAGTAGCGCGGGAGATTTCTTAAAGGCACAGGGTACTTCAAGACGAAAACAAAAATTACCGTTACTATCATTACTATTACTACAGCAACGAGTACTGCTAGTACCAACACCACCACCACCACCACCACCACTACCACTACCACTACCACTACCACTACTACTACTACTACTACTACTACTACTACGGTCGGAGGAGTAAGTCGTCGGAGTAAGTTGTTCGGGCATTGGCGCACAGGGGTCAAGCTGGTCGCCTCCCCCGGATTAGCGTTAGCATTAGCAGTGAGCTTGCCGGCATTGTACATTGATGAATGAATTAAATGATTTCATTATAAGATGGCAAAATAACAAAATGTAAAAAAGTGACTGAGTACTTTCTAAATGCACTGTATGTCTAACTGATTGATCTGTCAAACATCTCTTAGCATTCTTTCCTAACAGGTGCTTCCCATCAGAGAGTTTCTCTGTACATTGATTAATGAATTGCCTGAAGAAAGCAAGTAAAGTTTATCAGAGTTTCTCTTGGATGAGGTGTAATTCAGGCAAACTTTACTTGCCTGAAGAAAGCAAGTAAAGTTTAACAGAGTTTATTATGTTCTTACAGCTGCTCTTACACCACAGCTTTGTGTGTATTAAATTCACACACAAACATTAACATTAACATTTCAAACCTTTCTCTGTCCTTCTCTGTGTCCAGGTGACAAAAACGCTCACTGGTGCTGCTTCTGACATGGCTTCCTGGGTTACCAATGTTGGTATTGTGTACGAGCCAGGTGCTTATTGCTCACCTGCTGCAAGGGCTCTGAAGGCCTTTCCAGAATGGCATCTTCGAGGTGGACCCTTCGAGGTGCCTGCCGTTTCTTTGAGGATGTTTGGCCTGACTGACGCCAAGGTGATCCAGAGGATTTCCTGGGACGAGTGGAGGCTGCACTGTCGGAGTAGGACACATGGGCCAGAGGAGACTGCCCTCCTCATTCAGGATCTCCATGTCACCCTGGACCCCCCATTGCTGGATTATCTCCGCATCCAGGACATATGGAGTACACAGAGACTGGTAGGCTGACAGAGGCCTTTCCACCTCAACCAGTTCATCCCAGGTACATGCATGTGTCTCATAGCTTGTGATTAAGTATATTGTGTATCACCCCTGGTGACCTGAATGGTTTAATGAGGATGAAAATGATGTGAATCTTATGCTGTGGCCTTCACAGTCACCAGATCTCAACCCAGTTTAACAACCACTGAAGCTGTTTTGGCTCAACACCTTACTACTACACTTTATCTTGTTTTTCTTCTTTAATTTGTCAACTGACTGGTTTATTATACATCACTGAGATGTTTTACTAGTCTACATTTATGAGGCTGCCACATTAACAAAGACCCAACACTGTTCCTCTGTCATTTTGAATGGGTTAAGCTGTGCAACAACCGCTAAACCTTTTACGTTCCAACCACATATCAACCCGACCTCCTCACCTCTCTTTCTCCCAACACCTTTGTATAGAAGAATGAATGGTAACCTACACACAGCTATTATGTGTGTGTGTGTGTGTGTGTGTGTGTGTGTGTGTGTGTGTGTGTGTGTGTGTGTTTCACTCTGCATGTGTGTATAAGTGCAATACTCGCTGCTGTCATGTCCTGCTGTGAGGGACAGGGATTGTCCAGCTCCCCTCTGAGCTCCTCCTGCTGACTCGACTGTGTTGCTGGCTCATCGAGACAAGTCTGAACCTGGCACCCAATCAGCCTCACACTGAGACAGCCCTACTCAACCCTCCTCCCTCTGTCATCATTAGACACACCACTTTAACAGCTATAATTTCTCAGCTAAATCTACAACCACCATACCACAGCTTATTCACTCACACACTTCACTTTCATTTCACTGAGCAGCCTAATTGTGAGTGGAAATAGTTTTGGTAAGTTTATTTTAAAACCATATTGTAGTGGGTTGAAGGCTCTGCATAATGTTTTTCAGTTTGCCATGAAAATGCACACTGATCACTGTATGCACTCACCCTGCCATGTTACACATTATCTTCTCAATATTTTCATTTAACTTTTGGCAAAAAATGAAATGAGCATGTTTCCCAAACTTTTGAATTATTAATTTAATGTCATTCTGTGACTGAGATGAGAAAAGTATATTCAGTGAGAAAACATTTTTAAATTATTCGATTTTCCTTCTTTGTTGAGATCTGCTGCTTCCATTTCATGGGCGTATTAGGGCTGATAAGTAATAATGTACAATAACTCTATCATTGAATGCAAGATGCTTTATTGTAGACATTCATGTCAATGCTCTTGGGGAATTATTCAAATAGAACAGAACTGCATTCATTTACCAATAATTGCAAAAATCTTTCAATCCACCATTGCATCCATTTAAAAAAATCAGTTTTGACATTTTGCAGTGCTGAACATGACCAGGATGCTGGACACACAAGTGCCCTTCAAACAGCCAGTTGCTTTGGAATAAGCAGTGGAGCAGATGCAGTAATTACGGGCATATTGTGAGACAGGAGACGAACGCAGGGCAGCGTTTGATCACTAGGCCACCGCGGTGCTTCTAACAGGAGGTTATTGTGTGTCCCCCTCTTATCTGGCCCTTGATGCGGTGCCCATGGCAACCGCATGCAAAGACATCGCTCTGTGACACAGGAGAAAAGAGGCATGGTGGAGGGGCTGTCTGAGCTGATGACAGCCCCTGCCTGTCCAGGGTACTCAGACTCTAGTTAACTAATTTTGAAAACATACATTTAACTTAACTTAATTTCCTTGACATGAGATATTTTAATACTGTTAGAGAGAAAAGTAAGATTTGGCTATCAAATTGTCCTGATTCAACATGTCACTTGGGAATCAGTAAAGATGATGACAATAGAATAGGGTCTCAAGTGACTATCCTGAGTTTTAACAACTGTCCTGTGGAGTCAGCAGATGTGAAAACACCAGGGTGACATCAGGACTACTAATTCAGTCATTAAAAAGTAAAAAGGAGGGGCTAACATGACAAAGACTACTACCTCCCAGACCCAGCAAACCACTGTCTTTTCTATGAGATTAGGAGTTATGTGATATTTTATTAAAATGTGCACACACATAAGAAATCAAACTAAACAAGTGGTTTGTTGCACCAAGTTAAATTGTTAAGTTCAGTTATATTTGCATTAGCCTTAAGCAACTGCTGCCAGTGTGAATATGCATGGACGAAGGGTGTTTTTCCTCAGCCTTGTCATTATGTAAATATAGCAGCGGTGAGGAGGAAATGAGAATGAAAAATGCCTTCTGCTGCCAACAGGATAAGTACAAGATGTTGCAACAGTGCACTGCCCTGTTAAGTACGTCCCATTGTAAAGACTAAATAGTTTGGTAATGAGTGGCAATCCAGGAAACATGGAGGAAATTAACTGGCAAGTGCAATTGTCTTGTGTAGCTTGATAAACTGAATTTGTCCTAGCTATTTCTAAAATATAATGTGTATAATTATGTATTGTGAGCCCATGTTTGTCTTCCTCAAAGCTATGTCTAAGGGTCTCAGTCCTGGGTTGAAACATGTTCATTGCACCAAGCAAACTTGGTGAAAGGCAAGAATAAAATGCCCTGAGCAGGAAAGTTAATTAGGTTAATTGAATAAATCACTCACTGATAAGGCACTAGGCGGCTGCAACGGAAGGCAAAGATTGCAGCAGCAATGTATAGGTGTTGTTTAATGCCTGTTCATGATGACAGTGGATTTCCTGCACACATCCTCAAATAAGTTGAGTCATATGATTAAACCTCATGACTCTGTGACCCCTGCATGGCTGTTAGTCTGAAGTAAGGAAATGTAAGGCATTAAATTCAAATTTCAGATGAATAATTCAATGTTATGCATCAAAACAGGCAGGTGACCTAATCTAGAGACTGAAAGGTGCCCTCTGCTCCTGACTAGTGAACATGGATAAACTATAGTGGTCACAGATTTCCCTCAGAGATTATTAGTGAAACTTTGAAAAATGAAGTCTGGATTATATGTGGCCAATTTCTTCAGCCTGCTTCCTCATCCTTATTCCTTAATCTCATATGGTTTCACAAGAGCATCAAGATTCCCAGAAAACTGATAATGAAAATTGCAAAGTCATGCTGTATAGTGGGTTCCTGAGACTGACTGTTTACTGGTCTGAAGTGGGCTGTGGTCACGTTCACAACAATCCTATCGCGAGAAGTGAGCCGCGGGTATAAATTCCCCAACCGGGATTGTCAGCTCCTGCAGTCCGCTTTCCTGTGTCTGTTGGTGTGATCAAAACCGAGGTATGTGTTTGAAAATACATGAAAATATGCCTTTTTCTTTACCTGCTTTACATTTTAAATGAGTTTTAGTTTCTTGGAAGTGTTAAATTGTGTAGTGACGTTTTTCAGTCGCGTAGCTGTGGTTGAGTTCACAGTTCAACAAGTGGTTTATAACAAAAATTATAATCTCGTTCATTCTGAAAAACCAATACGTTTTGTCGGTTTCGAAAGGAAAGGAAGGTGTGAATTTTTTTTTTTTTTTTTTTTTTTTTTTTTTTTTTTTTTTTTGTTGTTGTTATGTGAAAAGTTTCCGCTGACGAAAAGGACATAAACTTTTAAGTTGCTCTCAAATCTCAAGAGAAAATCTCGACATTTTTGGTGCTTTTAGTGGGGGAATACTTAGGGAAATACTAAAGCGGCGTAATAATTTCACCTTGACTAGTGACCTCAGCTGGGACGGTTCCTTAAAACGTGTTTGGGGGGGGAAACAGAAACGTTGAAAATTGTAATCGATGTCCATATGCGGAAACACCTGTGAATTTATACTGAGAGAAGTGGAAATGGTTCATGGGCTTCTGTTGTTTCCATTTTAAGCGGTGAAAGTGCTGGGTGGCTGAGGTTTGGGTACAGAGTGAGCCTGAATTAAACACTTGCTGTAATATGGCCTACATCAGATATGAATCAGTGGTATTTGATTTAGAGTTTAGAAAAAAACTTCATTTTTTTCCTTTATCTCTTCTGGTTTTATAATGTCTATTATATTGCAATGTATTTCACACATTTCCTCATTCTCATATGGCTCTAATATTTTTATAGTGCTATAAGAATGACAGTCACTCTGATGAAGACATGCTTTATGTCAAAACTGTATTTGCTTCACCTTTGGGGCTGCAACTAACAATTGATTTTTAATTGTTACGATTAGCCGAGTAATTGTTTTGTCTGTAATATGTCAGATAATTGCAAAAATGATCGTAATACTTCCCCAAATATCAATTAGGACAAAGAAAAGCAACAAATGCAACATATTCTAAAGCTATTAACCACAGTATAACCGTGTGTTCAAGGTTTCTACTGTACAGAGCCTTTTAACAAGCATTCAAAGTCTATTAGAAATGTATTTATGGTAAAAGAGTACACTTACTGATAATGAAGACCTAAAATGCACAGTTCTTTCTTTAGAAACTGAACAATTGTACAGATGGGTTGATTTCTATATAAGAGAGACATAATTTCCTCGTGCTGTTAAAGAGGAAAGCACAGTTGTCATTTTGAGAAGAGATTGTGTAATACACTGTTTCCTTATTGCGTAATCCAGTCAGACTGAAGATGGCAGCAGGTAACGCACGTATTGGAAAGCTGGCCCCAGACTTCACAGCCAAAGCAGTGATGCCAGATGGACAGTTCAAGGACCTGAAGCTGTCAGACTACAGAGGTACACCTAAACCTGTGTCTCATCCTCTGTTGGTTGGAGGACATGCTTTGATGCCACTCTCTTCTGGACTGTGATTCACTGTTTTGTGATCCCAACAATGTCCTGAATAGACATTAATTTACACTACTAAAGACGGGAATTAATTAGACTGTCATTACCATAGGTGTATTTTCACATGACAAACTCAATGTTTTTTTTTGGTTTTGTTTTTTTCCTGTGGTGCAGGGAAATATGTTGTCTTTTTCTTCTATCCACTGGACTTCACCTTTGTTTGTCCAACTGAGATCATCGCTTTCAGTGATGCTGCCGAAGAATTCAGGAAAATCGGCTGTGAGATCATCGCTGCCTCCGTTGACTCACACTTCTCCCATTTCGCATGGTAATTACAAGGCTTTATATTTTAAACAGCTATAGGATGATGGTGTGCATTCAATCCTCTTTGCAAACACCTCACTTTTTCGTTTTGGTTTATGTTCTCAAAGGACCAACACGCCACGTAAGCAGGGCGGTCTGGGTACAATGAAGATTCCCCTGGTATCTGACACACGGCGCACCATCTCCACAGATTATGGCGTCCTCAAGGAAGATGAAGGCATTGCCTACAGGTGAGTTTAACAATGTGGAGTTGTGCCGTCTATGGAAGTTAGAGCCAATGAAGTCAGTTTTAGTTGCTGTTCCTTCTGCTTCCAGAAGCTGAATCCTGCTTGCATTGTTTTAATTTACAGAAAATGTCTGTTTGAATGGGGCCGTAGGGCTGGTTTACGATCTCTCAGAACTGGTTCGGAAATTGAATATGTTTATAATCGTTTCAGAAAGCCACGGGCAGAAGGCAGAGTGAATGATGATGATGATGCAATATTGTTTAAATGTAACGGTGCCTATTTTCAGACAACCTCTCCACGAAGACATTCGTAGCGTTGCACACTGTAAGAAATAAAACAAAGAGAGGTGTAGAGAGAAGTAAAATGCCTCCACACAGCTGGCCAATCATGGGGTGAAGTGGGTGTGAATGTTCAATCGTCAGTTTTGGAAAGTTACAGAACACTATCCAACCATCTGACATGCAGTCTGGACACAGTATATTCAGGTCTTCGGAGACTCATGAGCTGTTCTTTCTCTCTTTTACAGAGGTCTGTTCATCATTGACAACAAGGGCATCCTAAGACAGATCACCATCAACGACCTCCCAGTTGGACGGTCTGTTGAGGAGACCTTGCGTTTGGTCCAAGCCTTTCAGTTCACCGACAAGCACGGAGAAGGTAAGTTACTTACTGTGTCTTACTTACTTGTGTCTTGTTGCACACGGCCCTTATTTATCATACCAATGTTTGTAAAAGATTTCCAGTTTGCTTGAAATGCACTATACTGCAAGTGACATAATTAAAACATTTATATTTGTCTCCATGACCCAACTATGCTCGTATTAACAATTTAACCCCTCGTTATTAGAATCCAATAGTCAGACATGTTGAGAAATGTTTGTAGACAATAAATTGAGGTCCAAATAGATTTTATATTACGCAGGCTAATATCTGATGTATTTCCCTGCCCAAAGCAGTGGTGGTTATGCTCTGCATATGCGTGTCATATTGGCACATGTCTTCACTCATCACAATGTTATCTTTTCAGTCTGCCCAGCTGGCTGGAAACCAGGAAGTGACACCATCAAACCTGACATCCAGAAGAGCAAAGACTTCTTCTCCAAGCAGTAATAAGCCCAAGGCCAGCATCTGCTGTCTGGTGTAGGAGATTTCATTTAGAGATTACATTTCCAGAGAACAATATTTAAGTCAACAGTTGTGCTTGTGGACAAGTGGTTAGGGGACAGTTTTTGTAGTTAACATGACGTCTGTGTTCTGTTGTCTGTAGCGTAAATAGTCCACTCATGACCTACTTAGGTATTACTGTGTAATTATGTTGTGGTGCTGTATGCTATTTTCCCTGTCTGATTGAGCTAAATGTTTGTTCTTTCATGTCATTCCTTATTATTGTGAGATACAAAGGACCATACAAATATTTTTATTGGAAAGAAGCCACAAACACCTCTCTCCACTATGTTGTAACTTTTTTTTTTTTTTTTTACGAGTGAACAATAAATATTCTTTCATCTAAATAAAGAATACAGTGTATAACACTCTCCTCAAAGGACATATTTACTTCAAAACCCAACAGGTGGGATGGGGTGTAGCTTAATTACACTCCATCTCATCAGTTAGGGTATAATTGAACATCCAAACAGGTGAGATGTTGGTGTCTCGTTTAGTATTACCGCAGTCAGGTGCATGTTGGATTTTTTAAATGACGTACACAGCCCCAAACAAATATAAAGAATGGAGGAAGGTTTACTACTTTACTGAGAAATGTAAATGGTGTTCATACGTCGTTGATTAGACTCATCCTCAGTTTTGATAGACATCTGGGACCCCTGTTTTTTTTATTTTATTTTTTACCTGTTTGACTTACCTATAAATTTGATTCTTTTGAATATGTTAGTGCTTTCAGCTCAGCATGGTTCCCCCATCCAACATTTAACTGAGATGTAGTCTGAGGTAGTCTTTTCAGCCAAAGTAACTGAGGACACCAGTGTGCGTCGACAGAGCCTCAGCTCAGGGATAATTAATCATATAAATTATGGGTGTGTTCCATTGAAGTGTCCGAGCCCCGAAATCAAACAAAGCAATCATTAATGTTATTTATTACACCTGTGTTTTTGCTGCTACCACAATTGACAATAGAGATAACTGATAAATGCCTCGTGTTGGGCAAAACCAGTTAGTCAACAATTCTGTTGATGTGTTTGACTGGAATAAACACATGCATATTAATTATGTTTCTGAAGATGAAATGTTGAAGGTAAAAAAATGTTTATTTTATCCGTTACTTAAATGTCAGTTCTTCTCCGCCTTTTTTAAATTTTTTTTTTACTAATATTATTATAACTAAAATTTGGACAAATGCTCTTCCAATAAGTTATGTACAGTATACAGTAGTATTATTTAGGGACACATTTTTGGCGGGAAACACTGACCTCAAGACCATAGTATCTGCCTGGTTCTGGCCAATGTTTTAGTAACTTTAATGTTTGAGTAAGTTTGTGCCTGTTCAGAATTGAAACAGGCTTCTTTGACCGCATTGAGCAAGATCATCAAACTAGTTTTAAGAGGAAAGTGACATTCATTTTGTTGCTGATCTGGAATTAGCCGAGATTAAATATTTATGCTAGCTAGTTTATTCGTTAGCATCAGTGATACATAGCTAGCTAATCCTCAGCAACTGGAAGGAGGAAAATGGCAGCAGGGAAGATGTGCCTCAGGAAGAACAAGGAGGAAACTGCTGAGGTTTGAACACACCGTACATTTAATAAAGATAAAATCCTTACGTGGTTATTTACTCAAACTTATGAGTCAATCTTTGACTTGATTTTTCTCTGCGTGTTCCATAAGATATTTAAGGTAGTTAATTGCGCCATCGCATGTCCATTAAGGTAAAAGTCAAACGTGCTGTAATATTAGCTAAATTGTTTTCTCCTTTCAAACAACGTTTCTGTATCTTTTTTTTTTTTTTTTAAAGTGGACAGGATTATTCCTGAGCGACCTAAAAACCAAACAAGAGTCCCTCGTCTTCGTCAAGAGGATGATGGCTGTGGCAGTCTCCTCCATCACCTATCTCAGGGGGATTTTCCCGGAGGATGCCTACAGATCCAGATATCTGGAAGGTGAACAAAAGTTTCCTCAAAAAGTCACGTACATTTTTGTAATATCATGGAATCGTGAACCGCGTAATCCAGACAGGGAAGGTTAAGGAAAATCATTGGTTTTAATGTGTGGGTCACTTCATGGGATCTATACCAGCATTTGTTTAACACATTCATTACAAAATACAATGATCTTTTACAGTAATAACTGCAATTTTGGAAACCCACTATAAATAATAATTTCACTTTAGGCTAACAATATTTTTAGACTTTGAAAACAGGCACATAGATCCAGAAAACTTACTGCTAATACACACAGTTTTAAAATAGGCTCCTTTAGATATCATATGATTATCAAGGAGTAAAGACACATTTTACTATCTTTAATTGCCATTTAATTTGTCATTTGTTGTTTGCCATTTTACCAGATTTGTGCATTAAAGTTTTACGTGAAGACTGCAACACGCGTGGTGCCAGCAAAGTTGTGAAATGGTAATTATAATATTCCTGCCTTAAGGCTCCAGGACTAAAATGGAAAATCTGCACTAATAACCGGCACTTGAAGGTAATTTACTTCCCTAATTTATGTATTTATCCCATTCAATCTTGCTTTTCCAGGATGATGGGCTGCTTTGATGCGATAGAGAAGCAATATGTAAGTTAATGCATCTATGAATATTTTGACTTTGTAATATTTTGTCGGGTCTGCCATTTTGATCAATACTATATACAGTGTATATAATCAATACATTGTTAATCTACTTTTACTAATATCCAATGTTGTCCTCTTACCAGCTCCAGATTGTGTTCATTGGGGTATGTAAGCCAGCAGCATTTATATTTAACACATTGCTTACATAGAGCAAAAACGCTTACTGTGTATGTTATTGCAATCCAGGTGTACACCAATCCAGATGAACCTAACGTAAGTTCTCTCTTAAAATACTATGAAATGTTTTAAAATGTCAGTCTGACCAACATTAAGAAACACGTAGATTTATTTTTCTCTTTTTGCAGTGCATTACCGAGTCGTATCAGTTCAAATTCAGATACACTGAGAAGGGACCAGGGATGGACATACTCAGGTTTGGTTAGACATACTGTGTTTGCATTTGTCACATGGATGTAGCCTCCACAGGTGAGTTGATAGCAATATAATCTTATTGAAACTACAGGAACAATGACGTGGAGATGCAGGTGACATTGGAGGACACCAAGAGAGCCTCAGTGCTGCTCATCAGGAAGCTCTTCCTGCTCATGCAGAACCTGGATGCCCTTCCCAGTAATGTCTACCTCACCATGAAGCTCTACTATTACGATGACAGTAAGTAATTACGATTAATCAATCAATCAATTAACAATCTAGTTTCATTTTTTAGGTTGTATAATGAAAACATCTCATCCTGCTCTCCTTTCAAAGTCACCCCTGCTGACTACCAACCACCAGGCTTCAAGGAGGGTGAATGTGACAGTCTGTGGTTTGAAGGCATGGCTGTGCACTTCAGGGTGGGTGAGGTGGAGACGGCCTTTCACAGCTTGAAAGTTCGTGTGTCTGCAGAACAAAACCGGCTCGAGAAACTTCAGGAAGAGAATCACCTGAGGGAGACCAAGCAGGTTTCTCAGAAAAATCCTCCAGAGATCAAGGTAGATCCAGAAAGTATATTGGTCTCTATATTATTGAGGTTTATAATTTGATGCACATTGGTGTCTTCCTCTTCTCAATCTCATTATTATTATTACTCCTATAAACACTTGGTTACAGGCTCCTCGTAAGAAAATGCATTCTGAGGAGGATCTGCCCTCTGAAGATGGTGAGTGAATGTGCCGGTGCTGTTACAAAACTGTGAGATTTATCTGAGGTGATTCACTGTTGACTTTCCTTTAAACAGAGTCTGCACAGTTCAAGAAACCCACCAGACCTGTGGCAAAGGTAAAGATGTACAAAGGAATGATCATAGTAGCGTATACAGGTTATAGAAAGTTTTTAAAAATCGTGACACATTGGAGCTTCTAATGAATTGTGATAAGAGCTAATGCAAACTATACAGGTGATTATCTTTTGTGTCTTTCTTAGAAACATGCAGCTGCCAAAAATCTGTCCAGGAAGAAGAGAAGAAGAATTTAGCCAACAAGACAAGTGCTCTGACAGCAATGAAAACACATACATGAAAAATTTCTTAATTTTATTGTAATATTTACAGTGTTTATGTCACAATTTATGTGATTACCAAATGAGTTTCCGTCAGGTTCCGTCGATAATTCCCACAAAGGCAAAATGTTGTTGTCAGTTCTAATTTAAACAACACAACAACACAGCGTTCACAACTTCAAAAGTGCTTCATTTTTTTAGTATTGCATGTGTATAAAAATATATTGTTACGTTTTCTTTAAGAAATAAAACTTGATTGTAAACTTTGTTTTGTTTTGTTAACAGAAATGTAACTCCTCTACATTCACTGGATGAATATTTTGTCACATACAGTGGGCACCACGTTCCCCTCAGACCTTTTGGACCTCACTGTATGTGGCAAAATATTCAGCAAGGCAAGACTGCTGCATTGCAACTCATGAATCACAATATACAACTCATCTATGCTGGAGAGGCTGAAAAGAATCAACCTTCAGTAAATACTTAGAGCAGATCCATTTGGCACAGACAATAATGTTTGTTTTTGATTCTAATGTTACATTGCCACTATTCTGCTTCGTAACCACAGACATTTGTCTCACATTGCCTTGAATTGTTTTACATTTTCCTTCACAACATTGAACAACATGGCAACAATCACATGAAGGACGGACAACTTGAGCCCCGTTGATCGAGGCTTGTTTCTTCATCACTTTCGAACGCTAAAGTTTGTTGGTTTTCCCGAGTGATGGAAGAGACGTCCTGGTCCGGACCATCTGTTTCAGTCTCTGGCTCAGTGTTACAGCGTCCTCCTCCTCTGTGTGCGTTCCCTAGAAGAGACTGTCCACATCGCCCATCTCCACAAACACCGTCTTTAGCTGGGAGTAGTGTTCGATGGTCACCTGGCCATTCTCCCGCCCTATGCCTGGTGAATGTAAGGATTATAAATTTACTTCCACTTCCACTTCCTGTGACTGGATAGCAGTGAAGCTAGGTTTTTAAATTAGGAAGTACTTCAGCTACTGAAAGTAAACAAGGGAGCACAATCTCAAAGGCGCATTCCCTACAATTAGACTTGGGTCAATCAAATAACTCACAACATCTATTCTAACCTGGTTTTAGAACAAAATTGGTCTGTTGCCAGGACAACTTAATGGGTGCAATCTCTGTCCTGGTGATGCAAGTCACAAATTATAACCCTATAGTGCTGCAAGCAAGACTGAAAGGATGTTAATAAAAATAATGATCTGCCAGCGACGCTTGGCTCCCGGTCTACGTGCAAGACTGTACCTGACATTTTGAAGCCTCCGAAGGGAACCTCGACGGGAGTGATGTTGTAGTTGTTAATGAAACAGGAACCAGCCTTGAGGTTTTCAACCACACGATGGGCTCGCCTCACATCCCTACAGACGTGAAACAAAAGGTTTTTAAAAATCGTTAATTTAGTTCTGTGCACATTTAAAGAATATTAAAGCAATAGTGTACTGGACCAAAACATTTGTTGTGAGTTGCTACTAATATGGAGGTGGAAACGTCCGTCAGTATGAGGAGTAAAGAGGTGACCATGCAAGTGAAGGAGATGATAACGAGGCACAAAAGAACAAAAATCTATCAGAGACATATCAAAGGTCGTTGGTTTGACAAAATCCACGTAATTCCAGACTCTTCGGAAATACATTCTTGTGGTTTACAAAAAACAAATCAGATTTATTGGCCAGTGAGTTTTCCCTAGATGTTTCATCACAGACTTACCTGGTGAAAACTCCTGCAGCCAGACCCATGGTGGTGTTGTTGGCTCTATACAGCACTTCCTCTTCTGTTTCAAAGGACAAAACAGACATGACGGGACCAAAGATCTCCTCCTTCACACAGGTCATGTCATCTGTGCAGTCACCTGTGTGTGGGGAAAAGAAACGACAGAACGTAGTATGTGGAAACACTGACAACCTGATCAGTCCAGTATTCAGATGGTGCTGAATCCCACAGATTCTAAACATTGTGGTGTTGCAGCCAGAACTGGAAACCGGGGTAATAGTTTTCCACACCACAACAAAGAGTAAGAAAAAAAAAGAGGGCTGTGTATTTTCTGAATGTGCTGTATCTATAGAAGAATGTACTGAACTCTTACCCAACACACATGGAGTCATGTAGTATCCACCTTTGAGTTTGGGGTCTGATGGGGTAAAAAGTTCACCTCCACACAACACTGTGGCTCCCTACAAACAGTACAGTTCACACCAAAGTCTAGATTTAAGTTGCTGTACAAAAGTGGAAAGAAAAGTAAATCATTGTGAGTCTTACCTCTTTCTTTGCCTGATCCACAAAGGACAGGACTTTTTCTAGATGTGGCTTGCTGACCAGTGCTCCCATTCGGGTGCTCTCTAACAGCGGGTCCCCTATCTCTATCGCCTGGGTCCTCTTCACCACCTCCTCCACGAACTCAGGCAGAATATCCTTCTGAACAAAGACCCTTGTGCCGTTGCTGCAGACCTGTGACACATTTGATCAAATCATATAATACGCTTTCATGTGTAGATTGGACACAAAGTTATTAAGTGTCAGCAGATAAAGATACTATAATGTGACAGCATATGAAAATACAACATAAAATATCCAAGTCAGTGCACAGCACCTGTCCCTGAGAAAGGAAATTGGCCATGAGAGCTCCCCTCACAGCGTTCTCCAGATCACTGTCCTGGAAGATGAGCAGAGGAGATTTCCCCCCAAGCTCCAGAGTCACGGGTTTCACCCCTCTGGATGCCATCTCCATTATCTATACATTAATGTCACATGGAAGAATATCAATCATTTATTCTGACCTCATTATATGTTAGGGCAGAAAAGTAAGGACTTAACATCTTTAACAACACCTCTGTAAATCCTAACTCTTGACATCAACAATTCCGAATCATGAGAGGTATGTACTGTTTTATGATTGCGTTGTGTTTCTTTATTTAACCTCTAAAACCAATAAAACCAGGAAAAGCCCAGGGTTTGTAGCATTTTTAATTCTACCATAATGACACTGACCTTCTTTCCTGTGGGCACACTCCCAGTGAAGGAGACCTTAGCCACATCGGGGTGGTGGCAGAGTAAGCTCCCGGTGTCCTGGCTGCCCTGCACCACGTTGAACAGCCCCTCTGGAGCTCCAGCCTTAGCATAGATCTCTGCCAGCATGACTGCCGTCACAGGTGTCACTGGTGACGGCTTGAACACCATGGAGTTGCCTGTTTTATATGAAAGACACAAGAAAAAAAACAAAACAAATGACAATTTAGACTCATACTGTTTCCTTCCTGTAACCAACTAGAAAGCTCTCACAGATTATACTTGCTGTATGTTCAGTCTACACAGTTCTCTAAACTAGATACAGTTTTCCATTAAATACACATGACAGTAGACAGCAGTTGTGATTTTGGGGACAAATCTTAAAATGAAAGTTGAGGCTTGTTACATAAAAGAATGTGCAGAGTTATGAGAAGAGACTCATGACTAATGGAGCAGAGCTGTTTAAAGTCATCATGTAGCTCTGGTGCCATCTATAGGTGAAGAGCCCTAAAACCTTAAAGGAACGCTCAGGGTAAATGTAATTTTAATTTGGCTGCAATTAGACACTATGTTTAGAAGCTACAGCAGTTTATTTCAAATAAGCCAAACCTAGAAGAATTTAACAAACATTCACAAAAAAAGGTAAAAAAAACTTTTTTCAGCTTCATCCATTATCATATGTGCAAAGTTTGAAAAGTGTTTCTTCTATGAAGTTTCCCCCCTGCATTAAGTCTGACTGTTCATGAGTTATGAGCCAATATGTCAAATGTTTTATAAACTGCTGCACTGTTGCTGAAAGTTTTCATTGGCCCATAGTTTTAACATGTTTTATTGAATTCTTGAATGTAATGTTGCGATATCTTGCTAAATAACAAATAAACAAACATGGCTCACCAATGACATAACCTTCCTGACAGGAAATAGATTAGGTGTAATAACAGTAATAATTGATGCCTCCGTTACCACAGGCCAGGGCTGGAGCTGATTTCCAGGCAGCAATCTGAAAAGGATAATTCCAAGCACCAATTCCAACACAGACTCCCAAAGGCTCCCTGCGGGTGTAGGCAAAGGATCCTCCAGGCAGCTGCACATGCTGGCCTTGACGACGGAAAACAGAAGCATAAACATGATAAAAATAAACAGGTAAAATGTGAAGTTTTGTTTTTTTTTTGTTTTTTTTAAAGACACATGACACTGTAAATATCTGAAAATGTCAAAACACTTTTGGCAGAAAGTCTTTTCCTCTACCAAGACATATGATAGTGATACCTGTCAGTGTTTAGGATTAATCATTTCAATTGATTTGATCTGAAAAATAAAATCCATCATACGTAATATAATGGGCTAAAAGGCTCATCATATGATTGGTTCACATAGTTCATAATGTTATGTTAAATGGCTGCCATTCCCTTATCTGATATTTTATTTGCCACATGAAAGTTTGGGGAAAAAAAAGTTTGATTATATTTTGATTAATTGTGCCGCCCGACTAACAAGTGAGGGTTGTACCAACCTGCCAGAGTGCTGGCCAGTCCTGCATAGTACTCTATACACAGTCTGCCAGAGTCCACATCCAGACGGGCCTCTGTGATGGACTTCCCATTGTTGACCACCTCCATTTCAGCTATCTCCTCTCTCCTGCTCTGTGCACGAAAATCAGGGCAAATAAATAAATACATATATTTAATAAATTACATAATAAATTGTTTTAGGGTAGAAACAACACTTGATGTAATAAACATTCAAGAAACTCTTTTCATGAATTTGGTATAAGCTACTGTATGATCCCCTAATGAGTTTCATTATAGAATTTGTACTAATCATAACAAATAGAGCAACTTATTAAGCATCGTAGTTATTCTGCAACTGTCAAAAATACAAATGAACACACAGAATGAACACCTCAATGATATGGGCAGCTTCTATCATGATCCTTGCCCTCTCCATCCCAGACATCTTGCTCCAATGGCCAAAGGCCGACTTTGCGGCCTTCATAGCCTGATCGACATCCAAAGCACCACACGGCTCCAAATGGCACAAGACTCGCCCTTGAATGTGAAACAAAGGTGACAACAACAAAGAACATGGGTTAAATATGTAAAAAAACCAACAGGTTACAATTTCGATTCGGCAAAGCCATCTCACTTTTCATGTTCATTTAGTTAGTACTGATTCAGTGTGAGTCATCCTTCAATAGAGAAGGAAATTACATCTAGGCCTGTAGGCTACAGGCTGTGACACACTGAGTTTAGTGTGACGTTTACACTGAGTTGGAGGTTTCATTTCCAGTGACGGTGGCCAAAAGATAAGCAGCATCATTGTGCCAGAATGGTGGGCTGCACACGGGCTGTGAGTTAAGATGTCTGAATTAAAGCTGGGAACCGAGCCAAAAAGAGCCTTAAAATGAATGAGAATGACAATGCACTTGGTACTTGGCAGGCTGTAATAGCTATGGATATGGTAATATGTCTTGGTTCTGCTTCTCTAAAGTTGCTCAGGAGCAACAAAACCGGTTGCATATGGAAGTGTCCATGTGTGACAATATGGATAATCATTATATGAATCAGCAAGTGAAGGAGCATGTGGCTGAAAAACAGCATGCCTACATAGTTTACTTTACTTAAATAACTAAATGTCAAATTTAGAAACTGTATTATGCAGAAAGACAAATAGAATACTTTCAGATCAAAATGTCTGACATTGTTTTATTGGGCCAGAGATCACCACACAGACATCTTCACACAGCAATGTCCAAAGTCCAGTTCAGAGACAGTGCCAGTAATATCAAAAGACAGACCGGTTTTGTTTTAGTATTAAATGATTGTATGGTTTACCTGTTGCAGGTTCATAAACAATTTCCTTGTTGCATTTGTGTTGGCTCGTCCTTCTCTTCCCAGCCCAGAAGTTTAGCGGGACGGTGACGTTCACTGAGCCCGAGGAGACAAACCTTAACCCGGGCGCGAGAGGAGCGGCATGGGGCCGCCGCAGGGACAGAGCGAGCCTCTGGAGCATACTCAAAATGGCCCTGTTTCTTTAAGTTTAGCCGATAACTGCAAAACACAATATGCAGGTTAATATCGCGCAACGATGTCACTTCATTAAAGCAAAACAACATTAGCAAAACTGTTAACGCTCGCTACTTTTCTTCGACTTGTCATTATATTTGTGATGTTTCACGATTGTATTGAAGAAGTCTTGGTGATACACGTACCTACAGGAGTCTTCACTTTCAATGCGCTTTTGAAGATAAAGAACAGTAATTTAACTGTTAATGTAACGTTCAGTTGACCCCACTTTATTTTGCTGAGGCTCAACCAGGAGGCGGGACAAATACAGTACGCACTTAGCTGAATTCCGGCAGCCATCAGAGCGTAACAGGTCATTGGATGACTTCACCGTCAATCACACAAACAACAATCAAAATAATATTTACAAATCCATAATCGAATTAATTATCAACCCCGTGTCCATGACAACGAACACATATAAAAATACATGCAATTTTTTTTTTATATAATCAAAATTGCCTGAATATGACACTAACGTTCGTGTCGTGGGAGGAGCTCCGCCACAATGATAGTCCAGCTCAGCAGCTCAGAAGGCACATTGCAAGTATGGCCGGAGACAGTGAGGTTCATCCAGAGGACCGTGGCGAGAAAACCAACATTATTCGCCAACCTTTTCTCATCGGGGTCTCCGGCGGCACTGCCAGTGGGAAGGTTGGTACCCTACTAAGCTAATTTGACGGGTTTCGCGAATTGTCATGTTTAAATTTTAAATAAAAACACGGCAGAGCCAGCTGCCGGTGGGCAGCCGGGTGCTAGTTGACCGCGTGGCTTCAGCGACGCAACGTTGAGGTTTGATTGACAGTCCTATCATCTGTTTAACCACCACTAGCTCTCCGCTAGCACCGGTTTAACTCCTCATGCTTGTCCACCGCCTGTAGTACTGAACTTCGTTTTTGTTCAGTAGCGTTTTCCTTTCGTACCGGATGGCAGTCGTTAGCAGGACCGATTGCCTTTAGACTACGAAGGGAGATCACTGGTTTTAGCTCAGTTCGCTGCCTAGCTAAATTCCATCACGTGCTAGCCTAGCATCGCCGGGTGCGCTAGACAATAGGTTGCCCCAGGGGTAGCTAGACTGTGTATGTAAACATTGCCAATCACATTTGCTCCCTGTTTATAATAGCATAATCATGATAAGATGGGAGCTCAATATTTAATTATTAGGATCAATACCAGTTGTATAAGGTTAAATCTATTTTAGTTTGAATGACCTGGGGTAACCGCTCACTGTAAATATGGGTAACCTACATTTGGTGTAATGAATGACAACGGACAGAGGCGCCAGCGGGAAAAACAGCAGCTCGGAAAATTTCGCCCCCACGCCCCTTTGTTCGATTGCTAATAGAAGACCATTATAAAACAATAAAATCTGGTTTACCGTAGTGTAACATTAGACGAAATCAACTTAAACACAAACCGACCATTGTTTTAACAAGTATATTTATAACCTCCTTGTATTTCCTTTTACCCGAACTTACTGCTGTGTGGGCAGTGACTAACTGGTTGCAGGAACTAACTGACGGCAGCAGCGCGCTGGCTCTGATCCCTTGTTCCAGAGAAAAGACTTGGATATTTTTTGAAGACGTCACTAGATTTCTTTGTTGTGAACCGGATCGCGAGTGGCACTTGAGATTGAACTGAAAATCTTTCTTGGAGAACCACAGCCGAGGTGGCACTGGTTGCCTGTAGTGTTTTGATGTCTGGTTAGACCAACAGTTAGAATTAATTGATAAGTTAGTGACCGCTTCACTGGTCGTGATATCATCCTCTTTTCATGAATCGGGTGATGTAATTTTAAGCCTCCTTGTCTGAAGGCACCCCCCACCCCCAGCTCAGCCAGGCAGCAATGCAGATTGTTTTGTATTTTCATCAGCCTCACTGCTGATGCGTGATCAGGATGGATCAGCTTTTCTTGTTAAATACAAAACGTATCTTTGTTCTACCACTAATAGATACAACAGTAGTTTTGCTGACAATTTTAATATTATAAGTTATTGGTAAATAAATAAATAAATGAATGGATAATACCCATGGAGTGGCTAGAGCCAACAGTCAAACCCCTGAAGTTATTTTACAGTGACATGTCAGGTGTTGACATTTGTCAAAGTGAAACAGCAAATATTTGGACTTTCCTTTATAAATAACTTAGGATTTTCAGAATATTTATGGATTTCTTTAAAAAAGACTAATCAGATAATCATCTTATTGACAGTCATGCTTATTGGCTGATGCTGTGGATTGCACCACTAAATATCACTGTAGTTTGGATCTGTGGTGTTTTCAAAGTAAGGCCCTCGTAGCTCAAAATTCTGCATTTGAGCTGCCGAGTGGGGGCGTCCAAATTCATTGGAGCATAATTTCATGAACACAAAAGCAGCACAGCTGAGGAATGCCCAGTCAGCACTGGGCATGAGATTCATTTAGTTGGCAAGGTCAGTGAGGACAAGCACGGTGGGCCATTGACCTCATAGGGGGTGGGAGATTATCCACCCACCCTAATATCTAGGTTAAGTGTGACTCTGGGTTTAATACAGTATCAAGTATCAATTTTGTTGTATTTAGACTGAATTGAAACAGATTTTTTCTCATGTACTGGCACTGGTGTTGCTGTGTTTTTTTTTTTGTTTTTTTTTTTTAAATTTAACCTTTTGCCCATGAATATTTATTAACTCCCATGTATTTACACTGTCAGTACTCTATCACTCAATTTATCCATCTGTTGACCTACTCTTTTTTTCTTTTTCTCTGTTTCTGCAGTCGTCAGTATGTGAGAAAATTATGGAGCTGCTGGGGCAGAACAAGATCGACCACCACCAGCGGCAGGTGGCCATTCTCAGCCAGGACAGCTTCTACAAGGTGCTGACTCCAGAGCAGAAAGCCAAGGCAGGAAAGGGCCAGTTCAACTTTGATCATCCAGGTACGATAACACAGGATAGTGGGTGGCACGGCTCATGCACCATGCTGGGTACAGCAGCTCAGCTAGCTTGCAGGAGGCATACGTTTGCTACTCATTGCACAGATTTGAGTGACCTAAAGGGGGGTATTCATGTGCTACTTAATCTGTAAGTGGAGTTTCACTGTGGCTGTGTGGTTTTGAAATTCTCCACATACCTAGCTTTGTAAACTAAACGTAAACTAACGTATGTAAACAGATCATTGGTTACACATATTAAAAATGAAGGCTCGGGTGGCAGTAACTTGCAGATAGTAAAAACCAAATTTCCAAAATGATATAAAACGAAGTTTAAAACGGGCTTGGGTTCTACAGCATGCTTTGCTGCTATGTGGATAATTTTCTCAAAAGATTCCTGGCAGAAGCATAAACTCCATTTTTGGAGTCTGACATTGGCCCCTCTTACCCCTGCATCCTCTCTCGGCTGATTTTAAAACCCCAGAGTCAGCAGGCCTCTGTTGAAGGCAGCTGCTCTGTGGCTCAGAGACTGAACCCAACACGTGTAACTCAAAAGGGATTCCCTGCGTTATCAAAGGTCTAGTGTGGGGGGGGGGGTCACACGTGTCCTTAGGGGCACAGTAGGCTGGTGTAGCAGGGGTTAAGTAATATGACATCCCATTAAGGTCACAACATTGCCTTTTCTTGTCATCAGATGCCTTTGACAATGAGCTCATCATGCAAACACTCAGACAGATCCTGCAGGGGAAGACTGTTCAGATACCACTTTATGACTTTGTCACTCATTCCAGGTGAGCACCTCTGTTGGTTTCCTGTTCATGAATTGTTTGGCATCACCCATCATTATGCTTTCTCTGCAGAGTAGACACTTGCACTACAATTACATGTCATGATAAACAGGTTCCTGATCCTAAGATTTGGCTTATAACTTTACTGTAACCAGTTTAAATTTGCATGACATTATGTCTGAATATAATGACTGACAGAAAGGAGAAACCTTTATTTGTGTATCATTCCAGGAAAGAGGAGTTTGTTACGGTGTATCCGGCTGATGTGGTCCTGTTTGAGGGTATCCTCATGTTCTACTCACAGGAAATCAGAGATCTGTTCCAGATGAAGCTGTTTGTTGACACAGATCCAGACACACGGCTCTCACGCCGAGGTGTGTAGCCAGAGCTTGTAACAACTGTAGAACAGTGCACCTCCTAATTTAAGTGTACTAATTTTAAGAGATTAACCAAGGTAATCCAAGTTTTGTTAATAAAAGACTCAAGTACATTTTTATTTATTTTTTTTTTTTTTTGCATCAGGAAAATCTTTCCAGAAGTGTAGGTTCTCCCAAGTCACCATCAAATACAGGCAGTGAATACTAGTGTGGGCTTTTTTTGTATGTTATGGCTGTTATTTATATTGACCATTGTTTTTGTGTGCTTTCTCTCTTTTAGTTTTAAGAGACATCAGTGAGCGTGGAAGGGAGCTCGAGCAAGTGCTGGCTCAGTACATCACCTTTGTGAAACCGGCTTTCGAGGAGTTCTGTTTACCAGTAAGTGGCGTTCCTAACTTGCTAATCTGTGGCTGTGCACCAGAGTCCGACTGACACACCAGCCAGTTTTAGCCCAACACAAATTCTTAATATGCAACAAAAAATTGCAGCATAGAAAAGGTCATAGTTGTATTTGAGGTGATAAAGAAACGGTGTCCTGCCAGTACATATCTTGATCACAATCCCTTTAGAATCAAATTTAAAGGATCCTTGTCTAAAATGTGAAAACACTTTTGAAGCTCCCAAATATCAGTCTGACTCTATTGTACAGCACAGATGTGAGCATGACAAAAATGTTGTCTGTTTGGTGACTTGAGCATTTTTTTTTAACCTTTTTTCTTTATTTTTGCCAGACAAAGAAGTATGCAGATGTGATTATTCCACGAGGAGCAGATAACCTTGGTAAGACCTGAGTGATTATATCAAACAGACTTTGCATTTGTGTTGGACAGATCTGGAAACGCTTCTCTCTACGCCTTGTCAGGTGTTGCGCTAAAGGGGTATCCAGACCTCTGTTGTCCGCTCATTAGCCGCTACTAGCAGAACCCACCCAAATCTGTTGGTAGTGTAATGGCATCGTGGGTAATATAGGCACCAGGTTTTGACGAGGAAGAATAATGTGTGAAATAAAGACGATATCTCTGGTTCTGCTGCATCAGTCTCTGTAACCATCTCTTGTTCTCTCCCCACAGTGGCCATCAACTTGATAGTACAGCACATCCAAGACATTCTGAACGGCGGTCTTAGCAAGCATCACAATGGCTGCATGAATGGCCACAGTACTCACCGTCAGCGGCGGACCTCAGAGTCCAGCAGCCGACCTCATTGACTTCGTCACCCCTCTCTTCACAGGCCGGAGAAGGGTGTGGTGGTTGCGCTGTAAATAATGCCTGTTGGAATCACTGTATTTAAGAGAGGGAAAAAAAAAAGAGATGCAAAAAGAATTGAAATGCCTTTTATTATTATTATTATTATTATTATTATAACAACTACTCTTGTTATTAGTTACTTTCATTGTGAACAAGGAATCCAGATTTTTGTCAGGAGGGCAGACCAGAAGTTGTTATTCTTGTGATGAGACCATGGGTTAAAAATGACCCCATGTATTTTTCCTCCCACATTGCATTGTTGTTGTTGTTTTTTTTTTTTTTTCTTTTTTTCTTTTTTTTTCTTTGTTTTCCTTGCTGCTCCATGTAAATTCATGCCAACAACAAATAAAAGAGGGGAAACCTTTTTTATTTTTTAATGTCAGATAAAACTTGAATCCCTGATTGTTGGGGAGTCTGATAAATGTTTGGGTGGTTTCCAAACGAGAAGGATGTGGATTGGAAGACGAGTTGAACAAACCAGGATTGCACTCTGTGTTTGTTCTGACAATCTTGGCAATGTTTTCTACCCTTTTCTTTTCTGTTTAAGTTGTCTCATTGTATTGTTTAGTGTAATGTGTTACACAAGAAGCCTGTTTACTACACTTAAGTGTCCACCTCATCAGTAGTTTATGATGTCTGCAGCAGCAGAAACACACTACCGTTTTTCAGTACAGATTGTCACGTGCAGAATTATGTGACTGCCACATCAGTGAAGCCAAAAGTTGGACGGTTTAATTAATGTATTAACTGAATCCAGTATTGTTGGTATTGCTACATTTTTGGGATGTTTGTCCCCTCTAATTAACAGCCTAATCATGCGTATTGACTGCTGCTGTGAAAACTTATTAATACATCCACTGCTTCTTTTAATTACAGAATTTTTGTTACATGAGAAGGTAGTCAAATTTGGTATATAATTAACTAAATTTTCCTGATTTTTTTTTTTTTTTTTTTAAGAGGTTTTGCCAGCATTTGCATGACAGAATCAGCTATGTTCATTAAGATTTAAGATATGAGGTGTACTCTCAGGTTGGTTATACTAATTTTACTTTGAAACGCCAGGAAAATATGTGATGAGGGTGCTCAATGCCACAGCAATATCAGTTAATCCAGGTGTGGCAAATAACCACAAAGACCCACCGCAATGCCTCTGCAAAGTTGCCTCAGGTTAGCATGTACAGCAAGTATCTGCACCAAAACCCAGTTTCCACTCAACATAAGGTTACAATAAAAAACTGTTGAATCAATTTAGTATCCCATGTGCTGTATTTGTTGTGTATAGTGCAATTGAATGAATGATTTGTACCATGAGATTTGTACGGTATGGCTGTTGAATTGGCTTGGTGGGTTTTTTTTTTGGATGATTTATATGACGTCCTCAGTTGATAAATGATCAATAAACCAAAACCGACCCAGAGTGTCTGTTATAAGCGTTTGATTATTTGTGCAAAGTCTGTGAATAGTGTGCTTTTGTGACATTTACATGTATGGGTGCGAACAAAGACATGGCCATGACGGCATCTCTGTAAAATAACCATAAGCATTAGTAGGTCATTCAGTTTCCTCCCAGTATGTCCACTAGATGGCGCAGCTGACCGCTCCAGTTCCGCTGACAGATATGTGACATTTGGGTGCGTGTAGTCGACTTGAAACCTAACAATTATTTGAAAAAGCAAAACTGTGCAAGATAGTCTTTCAAATAAATAAACAAATAAGAACAGACCGAAAACCCCACTTATACTTTACCACATCACTAACTACTTTACCAGGTCGCTAACGCCATCAGAAAAAGCAAAACTAGTCCATCATGACTTTGCGGTAGTCAGAATATACGAGGAGTACCTGAACGCAGCAGGGAAAGTTGTCAGTGGGGAGGTTTCAAGATGGTGGTATGTATTGCTGCTACATGTATCTGGTGTAGACTGTAAGGCAGTGTAGCTAATGATTTGATTCAGTGCTAACCTTTTCCTTATGCATGACAGAAATTCGGGCTCCAGTTTAAAGCCACTCTGGAGAATGTCACCAACGTGAGACCGCTGGGCGACGACTTCCGCTGGTTTCTGAAGGTGGGATGGCTGTCAAGCTAGCATGCTACTTCACTTCTTTACCTACACATCTATACATTACCATATCAGCTTATTTTCTATGTTTGCTCAGTAGTGGTGATAATTTAATCATGCTTGTTCGTAGAGGAAAGGTACTGACTTAAACGCCTCTTTAAGGAGACGTGTAAACAGTGCTAATGTAAATTATGTTGATGCACTGTTTACTACTCACCATGCACCGACTGATACTTAGATTGTGAATTGTACGAGTTTGGTAAGAATTTGGCACAAATGTACCAACCTCTGATAAAATTGATAATTTATAAAAGTGTACAGCCCAGCTTCCACCTCTTCTTATGCCTTTCCAGGTGAACTACAACATTGCAGGCCAAATATCACTTTGCAATTTTTCTTTTCCTGCCTGGGATGTGTTACACCCTTCCTCCTCTTGCTGTCTTACTAATACAAGTATTTTTTGTCTTTTCCTCTTGATTTAGCTGAAGTGTGGGAACTGTGGCGAGATCCCAGATAAATGGCAGTATATAACCCTAGTGGTAAGAATAAAAAGCATCTTTGTGCCAGTAAAATTTACCAGATTTTGTTAAAAAAAAAACAAAAAAAAACCCACCCCCCCACCAATTTAAAATTTTTTTTTTTTTTTTTTTATTTTCCCAAAACCCAAAACCCCTTTTGTGTTTTCTTTTTCTTTTTTATTTCTAAATATTTCCACAGGAGAGTGTGCCGGTCAAAGGAGGAAGAGGCAGTGCCAGCATGGTGCAGAGGTGTAAACTTTGTTCCAGGGAAAATTCAATTGGTACGAGCTGACATGCCATTTGACTCATTTAGTCTGCATTTTTTGAGGTAAAAACCCTGAACCCTGGTGGAAGTGTAATATGACAATTGTTTCCTTACAGATATCCTGGGAGACACAATCAAGGCTTATAATGTAAGCAAACATCCTGTACCTGCACCTTGTTTTCATGCAGTCTGACAGTCTACACAGAATACATAATTATTTTATCTCCAGTGCGTCTGTATTGCAGTCAGCTACTCCCAACATACTGTACATTGTAGCTGCCAGTCGAAAGCATGGCAGATGGCAGATCTTTTCAATTGAATCATCTTTTTAGACGGGTTTACGCTTTTAGGCAATTACTGCTGATGTAAATGCATTAGGCAACATCCAAATAATGTTACTTATACACTAATAACGTTAGTTTGTCTGTCTGTGTCTAATGCTGTTTGTTTGTGGGGTTGAAGGCCGATGACAGCGAAAGCTTCAAAACAATGGTGCAGTTTGAGTGTCGAGGTCTGGAGCCCGTTGACTTCCAACCACAAGTGAGAGGCTTTGTTTGAACAAGGGTTTTACTGTGTGTGTGTGTGTGTGTGTGTGTGTGTGTGTGTGTGTGTGTGTGTGTGTGTGTGTGTGTGTTTGTAGCATTAAATGCACAATGCGTAAGTTTTTAACCTTCCTTTTTCATAGTTAACATTTTGTCCTGCTGCTCAGGGGAAATGAATAACATTTAGTTGTGCCTGTCCCTTTTTGCTGGCATTACGCTTGTGACTCTTCCCAATTTCCTCCTGCAGGCTGGCTTTGCTGCAGAAGGAGCAGAGTCAGGGACGCTGTTTCCTGAAATCAACCTACAAGAAAAAGTAAGTGCAGTGGGAACAACTGGTCCCTCAGAATATAACAGTTTGTTCATTGCACAAGAGTTCACTTTTTAGGGAATGTTTGACTCGAAATAGGATTTCAACCTTTGATACTGTGTTCTTGGATATCCTCACTGGGTGATGAGTGAGTGAATTTCAGTAGTTATTTTGTTAAAGACTGTTTCATTCATCTACTTGACTTTCAGTAACAAACCCATGTTTTGAACGTTTCAGGACTGGACAGACTACGATGAGAAAGTCAGGGAGTCGGTGGGGATATATGAGGTCACACACCAGTTCATCAAGTGCTGATGTCATCGTGTGCTGAGCCTCAGAGGTGGGGCAAATGAACACTATGGTCAAACATCTTCAGACCTGTTTCCTGACAATTAGGATGCTTCTGACGCTGAGGTGGTTTGGTTTGGTTTGGTTGATGATGAACATTAAGAGAGGTGGATTAAAAGCACTGGTCGTCCACACAGACGGATTGATCATCGTACTCAACAGACAAGGCTTTTTTTCACTGCCTCAATAAAATTGAAGGGTGAAAATTTTGAGTTGAGGTTTTTCTTTGCTTTCACTCCCTCATTAGCATTAAATGATATTTGGAAGATGTTTTGTATGGAATAAGTAACTTAGTACTTGAACACATATAGGGGCCTATAGGAGAACTAGTTTGTTGAGGAGGAGAGCAATGTGGCGTATCTCCACACACTCCACCAAGTCATCAGCAAGTTGTGTTGACCTATCCAGTTGTGCTAATTGAAAGTGCATTGATAAGTGGTTGAAAGATAGCATTCATTATTTATTCAAATGAAATATATTTAGCTTTGAATCCAAAAAATTATTAGTTTTTTTAAGCATCAAGTTTTACTGTAGTTCATTGCATATATCCAATGTATATCCAGTATTCTCCATTGCATCTATTGAACGTCAAAGCTTGCTGCGAAGTTCAACAGTCAGTGCAACTTCAGGTCATATTAAGCATTATTGAAGCAAATCCAAGCTGCAAGACAGCAAAGAAATCCTGAACAATCTGATCAGCTGTGCATCAGGAGAAAGTGACGTTGCTTCTAATTGAAGTTAGACTGAGCAAAGATGAAATGATTAATACAAAATGATATAAACTAAATGAGAAGCAACATTTGCTAATTGAATAGAACCATAGGTAACAGTAAGACCAATAAAGAGCGAGAAAGTGAAGAGGTCTCACTCTGTCTGGATCTAGCATGATTATATTCTCATATGAAACACAAAAAGAGTTCACTCAAAATAAATCGGTTTGACCTGTTAAACTAAAGTTGGTCAACATATAAAAATGAAGAAAAAGTTCACAAAACGAATTTAAAACAAGACTGAAAAGAGTATCGGAATTTATTCTCAACAGGATAAAAGGGTTACGTGAAACTACTCTTCCATTTCCCCACCGAGTGACGCGTCGAATGAGACATAGACGATCTTTGCTGTGTCGCGCGATAGCTTCCTGGCTGCTGTCAGTGCTGTAGCTGCTCACAGACCTGTCTGTTCGTGTCTGGATCACCTCTGACCAGCTGCTGAAGAGAAGCGACCATGGCACCTGGAAATAAAAACAGGGTGTTTGTCATCGGTGTGGGCATGACAAAGGTGAAATTATTTTATATACTTATTGTGTTAGTCGACCTGGACGACCTTATGTAAGACTTGACGCTAGCCTAGGTTGCTAACTAACTAAGATTGCAGGGTATTGGACATACTACTCCTCAAAACTTCAGCTTTTATACTTTAGAGTTACAGTTACCAAACAGCTCATAGTATCTGGAGCTGCTGCAGTTTATTTAGTCGGATATTAATTGTGTTCATATTGTTTTGACAGCTCTACAATCTCTGTCACATCTGAGAATACACATTGTAAACATAAGCTAGCAAAGTTAGCACAAACAAGTCAGTATTGCTGCAGTTTATACTTTTACCTTTGTGTTAAAGCGCTCTGTTTTCATAAGTTAGGCAACTATTTGTCTGGGCTGAATGCTTGACGTACTTGAGTCTATATTTCATGACCACTTTGTGAGTCCATAGTTCATGGCCAACAGAGTTACAAACTGTGCTAAGGGTCATCACTCCAGCAGGCTGCTAACTTAATGAACTGTATCTCCACAGCTAGCTTCATCTCCCAGTCATACACATGTGTTGTCATCCCCAGACTAAATTTTTAGAAGAAAAAGGCAAAACATATTTAAATAGAATGAAATTAATCTGTTTTGCTTTCTTTTGTGCTGCTGCAGTTTGACAAACCTGGAGCCCGAGACAACAGTGACTATCCTGATATGGCCAAAGAAGCAGGTGCTTATCTTCATGAATATTGCTCAGTCTGTGAAAAGATACCATATCTAAAATGGATCTAGCACCGTAACATGTACTACAGTGTCTTATTACTGTATGTTTGCATCCTGTTTTAGGTCAAAAGGCCTTGGCAGATGCAGGAATTCCATACTCTGCCATTGAACAAGCTTGTGTAGGGTATGTTTATGGTAAGACCTTTTGTTGAGTCTTTAATAAAATGTGATTGTTTTGTGTATTATTTATATTTTACATGTTGACCTTAAATACTTAGATCACTCTCGTAACCTCCTCTACTTCACATTGTACTCTATAAAGAATACATTTTATAAAGTAAAATGTTTTTGATGATATAGGAAAAATGATGTGCCTTTCGAATTGTAAGTAACTGTGTGAAAAAAGGAACTCACCCCTTCCTTTACTCCCTCAGGGGACTCCACGTGTGGGCAGAGGGCCATTTATCACAGCCTGGGCCTGACTGGGATCCCCATCATCAACGTCAACAACAACTGCTCCACAGGCTCCACTGCTCTCTACATGGCACGGCAGCTGGTCCTGGGAGGTGAGTCAAGAAAGTGATGAGCCACCCAGAATTTGTATTTAAAAAGGAGGCTGCAAAAAGTTTGTAGTTGGCTGTATTACAGTAATCAATGGCTCAGGCCTTGTTAAAGAAGCTCTGTAGCATAATCTATTTTCTGTCATGTAACATAAAAGAGTAAAATACACTCTTCAATCTCCGTTTGCAGGTCTTGCTGACTGTGTGCTGGCCCTCGGGTTTGAGAAGATGGAGAGGGGCTCTTTGTCTTCAAAGGTATAAAACTATATTTCATTGTACTATATGTAGAAGAGTTGCACATAATAGCATGAACATTGAGGCACTGAATATCTTACAATCTACCATACATGTTATCGTTATTGTGTCCACTGGCTGTTGTTTTTGTTAGTCACATGTTTATTCGGGAGAATATGAGCTGGGGTCCACACTTGTCCTCCTTCCCTGTAAAACCGTGGTACGCCTCATTGATAAAGATTTTAAAACAGATGACAGCAGACACAACAGATTAGTGTGGCTGCACACTAGACATGAAGGGATAATGAACCGCTGCTGTCTTTTATTAGTTGTCATTAACTGCTTATTGCTGTTGAGGCAGTTTCTATCACTGGGGAGCAGAGTGTTAGTGTTGCAGAATAAAGACTTCTACCCTTAGAAAAGCAAAACACAAACAGACTGAGCAGTTTGTCCAAATGAATGGTTTTTTAATTTTTGCTTGTAACCAAAATATAAATATATAGAAATGTATATGTATTATCATTTAAACAGGCATTATTATATTTAAAAATAACCCTGTTTTTAGTATATGGATAGGACCAATCCCATGGACAAGCACATGGAGGTTATGATCAACCGTTACGGGATGGTGGCAGCACCAGCAGCACCACAGATGTTCGGCAATGCTGGCAGGGAGCACATGGAGAAATATGGTACACACTACATGTGATTTGAAATGTGAAATTTATGCTTTGTATCTTGTATTGTGTTGTACAATTTTACTATATCCAATATGTGAATGTTAGTTTCAATGTTTTCATCTCTTTAAGGAACGAAACCGGAGCACTTTGCTAAGATTGCCTGGAAAAACCACAAGCATTCAACCAACAACCCGTAAGACACAGTTTTACAACTTTATAAAAACAGATTACTACTTCTCAAGTTCAAGCTTTTCTTAAGTTTGTGTCTGTATGTGTGTGTGGTCATGCAGCTACTCCCAGTTCCAAGAGGAGTACAGTTTGGAGCAGGTGATAAACTCCAGGAAGGTGTTTGACTTCCTTACTCTGCTTCAGTGTTGGTAAGAGCCTCACACATTTGTGCTAAATAACAGAATCTATAAATTGGTCACCAAGTAAATGTATATTAGGATAAAGTGCTGATTCTGATCTAAAAAGTAAAGATAACTGTCTCTGTTGTCTCTATCTGTGCATCAACCATGATGCCTGGTCTTTGTGCTGCATCTTCCTTCATCAGCCCTACGTCAGATGGTGCTGGAGCAGCGGTTTTAGCCAGCGAGGCCTTCGTCAGGAAACACCATCTAGAGAACCAGGCAGTGGAGATTGTGGCCCAAGAGATGGTGACCGACCTCGCCTCCACGTTTGAAGAAAACAGCTGCATTAAGATGGTAAAAAAAAAAAAGTGCAATGTTTTTACCCAAAATTCACAGCTTTTTTTGTAATACTGAAACGGATGGTTTGACAGCCGTGGATCAAGCCTGTATTTATCCTGAAGTTTTTTCTTTGCATGATAAAAATCAAATCAGTGAGACTAGTTCCTCCCAGGGGAACTAAAGCTCTGTACCATATTTAAACCCAAGCTACAACAGATGATGACGTCAGAAAACAGAGAAATAGTTTTTTAAATTGAAATGATGAAGTATCATCATGGGGGCATACCTTACGTCATTATGATAATATTTTATAATATCCTCCATTCTAATATCTTTTTGTTTTTTTCTGTGCAGGTTGGATATGACATGTCTCGGTTGGCAGCTAAAAAGTGTTACGAGGCCGCAGGTCTGAAGCCCGGTGATGTTAATGTGGTCGAGCTGCACGACTGCTTCTCAGCCAATGAGCTCATCACATATGAGGCCCTGGGGCTGTGTCCAGAAGGTAAGACTGCAGCTTTTAAAATCCTCCTTTGTCCTCCCAACAGTTATCCTTCAAAGTTTGGCTGTCGGGAGAATCGGAGCAGGAACGGAAACACTTTTCACCATCCTTCTCCCAACTTCATTTAACTTTACACATTAGAGAGAAGAAGTAGATGAAAATGGCCCAAGATTGACGTTATGTCCATGTCCCCATGTCAATATATACTGAGTATATACATGTATGTGTGAGAAGAGAGAGAGAGCGGGCAAGGAGGGGTTGAGCGAACACAGCTGTACAATGAAATAAGGTGTTAGCCATTTGAAATAGTAGACTGTACCAGAGGACGTCAGTACAGTAGGCAGTCCTACAGTGTGGCCCAGGACACATTTCACACCGATAAAAGAATGTGACCACATGAGGCCCAGACCACCTCCGAATATGACTGGATCTCAAATGCATCCTCTGCATCTCGGGTGAGTTCACACCTGAACTTAGAGCTGCCCACTTGTGATCTCTGAACAGGGTCAGAGAAAGCTCAGGCAACAGAAAGTTGGCTTGTAAATGTTGATGACACACCAAAGTTCCCAGCCATATCGATATACTCCATCGTAATGTTAAATTAGTTTAGCTTTAATCTGTCGCGCAGAGAATACACTGGTGACCATTCATTAGTTGATATCAGTATAATCTGTGGATTTGCCCTCTGAGGCTTTTTCTTGAGTCGTAGATTTTCTTTTAAGTGCAGAATTTAAATAATGACAAACATCAAACCAACTTAATGCCAACTTTATAGTGTTAATAATGTTGATCTTGCCATTACAAATGCAATGTTTTGAAATTGTTTGTTTTTCATATCTTCTGATTGTTTTAATTTAGAAATTGTAAATGACATTTTGTATGTAGAAATGATGCTATATATAAACAAATGTGTCTTTGCTTGTATCCATGAAGTATATACAGTAGTTAACATGATGGGAGATATTTACCTGCGGCCTTTCTTCAGGTGCTCAACAGGCAAACTGTCTTTACCCTTATCTACTAAAGGGCTGCACTGAGGTCCTGTAGCTGATTTGACCTCACTGCAGACTGACCACTGACCACTAACATTTAGATAAAGCAAGTGTAAAATCTGTGGCAACACAGAAAAAGAGGGCGACTTTAGTCAGGTGGAAAGTGCGTGTGTGAGAGAAACTTGATGTATTAATAGTCCAGAGATTAAAAAAAACTAGTGTGATATCTAAACAGCCAATTAAAAACTTACTAAGTAAACCTGTCATGTTTTTAAAATCTGTTTATAGACCAGAGTTTTTACCAGATTTTACCAGAAATCTCCCACGTGATGTTTTATAACTATTTCCATAACTGATATTTCTGTAAAGATGACAACATTAAACTATTTACACTAACAAATACTATACATCCTCATACATAACTTTCCTCTTGCTGAATAAATACTGGTAGTTCAAACAGTTGGAAAAAAAAAAAAAAAGCTTTAACCAGTTTTTCAAGTTCAGCAGCGGAAAACAATATCATCTGCCTTCACTGCTTTCCAGACATGTGCAACACATGCAGCCCAGCATCAGGTTTTACGTAGCTGCACTTAATCCAGATTAAGTGAAATGCACCTGGGCTCAATTTTCATCTGTAGTGTTGCAAAACTGCTGATTTGTGTGGTCCTTACAGTAACTTAGTAAATATGTCCCCATGTATGTGTTGATGATGTTATAATGTTATGGCATAATATTACAGTGCAGCCACCACTCTGTACTGTTTTGTGACCTTCTTGTGTGCCTCAAATTCTCTCCAGGTAAAGCTGGGGATCTGATTGACAGAGGGGACAACACCTATGGAGGCAAGTTTGTAGTCAACCCCAGTGGTGGCCTCATCTCTAAAGGACATCCTCTGGGCGCCACAGGTACACCGAGCCTCTGACTTTCTGACTCTTAATGGAACCACTTCTCATATACTGTAAAACAGAGTAGGCACTACATAATCCAGTCTGGTTTAGTGAGAAATCTGACCCGGGTCAAAAAGCACATGAGCACTAAACGGAAAATAGAGAGAATTATATGCTCATATTTATTGTGAGAGGTGCCCTGGTGTATGCAACGATTTCCACAGCGACCACCAGGTGGCATGTGTCTCACAGTGATGGCCACCTGGATTGTAACTGGGTAAAAGTGATCCTAAGCCAGCGTGTGAGAGGGCAGCCGGCTGTGACTTTGGCAAGTCTCCCCTGTAATCTCTCCACATATTAAACCATGGAGGGGTGAGACTGAGCAAACAGTGCAGCTGGCTCTTCCAGCCTCTACTAGCAGTGGGTGTCATCTTCTTCTCCTCCGCAGATCCAGCATTTGTCATACACATGCCATTTTTTTTCATATCTGTAGTCACAGCTGTTTAGGCTAGTGTGCACGCAACCCCCCCCCCGGTGACTGATTCCATATGCTCCTTTTTCTTTCATTTCGATACAGATTTATTGTATTTATCATCTTCATAGTGTTAATTTTTCTCTCTCCTCTGCCTCCTTCTTTGCCTTCCTTCCTTCACACCCAACACTCTGAACCATCATTCCCTCTACCTCATTAATTTTGAAGGACATTCCCCATCCGTGTCATCTCCCTCTGCCTCCTGGGTCACTCTCCCACTGTGCAAGTGCCCCAGTCAGCTAAGCTCTGTCTGATCCACGGTGTTGCTCCCAATCTTGTTGGCAAAGCTCTGACCGCTTCACTCGGTGACACTACGAGCAGAGATATTGACAGATAATTGACCGGCCCGTGCAGGGTCTCCTTCGCGGGTAGTAGGGTGAGCCCCCTCAGGAGGATGTGATTTTTACGTGTTGACATAACCTTGATGTTATGTGAACGCCTGAGGATCCTTGAGGTGTCACCAATGCGCATCTTGACGTATGTTGTGAATCATCCTGACCGCACCATGAAGAAGTCTTTACTGTTAAGTCCTTTAGCTGATTGGGATAATGAAGAAATGCAAAAGCTCATTAAGCAGATGGAATGAAATGCTTAGCTATAATGCTAACGCACGATCTGACCCTGGCTAGATTAGGGAGTGAGTTGTCAGATTAGGAGTCAACTTGCCGCCTTCTCAGTCAGGATATTGTGTTTTACGTTTGCAAGCATTTTGAAATTACAGCAACAAAGACGTAACTTTTTTTTTTTGTGAAGGCGCTTCTAAAGAAAGAAAATGGATTCTCTCAGAAGTTAAAAGTTAGTTGCAAAAGTTCAAAATCCTTTATGTTCGTGGCTGCTTAATTAATTATTTATTTTGCAAACTTAATAAGTTTCCCTTATTGTAGTAAAAATCCCTATTTTCTTTGAATTTCCTCTTCCTTTCTTCACCTACCTCACTTCCTTTCCTTTCCTTATCACCAATTGGCTCTTGTTTTCTCACCCTCATTTACCTGATAGAGTTAACCTGGGCACTACAAGATTATTTAAGGGCTTCACTCCACTCATTCACTCTTTTTTCACCTTGGGGTGGCGGTTTCTGGTAAGAAGTTTGTTACTCTGTAGTTCCTATAATTTATTTGTCAGTCTCAGAGAACCTTCTTCATTCTTATTTCTTCAATTATTATATAATGAGACTATATTGATTTGTTGTGCCAATTTTGATCTTTATTCTTTATTATCCTTTCAGAACCCGTAGCCCATGTGTGTCTTCCTTTTCCATGTTGAAATAATTAACTGAGAAATAAACCTTTTGTTGGATTGGATATATGTTTAATGGCCTTCGTTTATTCATCCTGTGTCCTGACCCGGCGCCCATGGTGATAGTAAATCTTTTAGTGTACAACTTTTGACTCTATCCCACAGTCACACCGGCCGCCCAGCCCAGACCAAACAGCAGACAGACAAAGTTAGCATCAAGTGTAGTGGAGCAAAGTGGAGCAGTCAGCAGAGAAAAAGACAGATAGTTCCTCCAGAAGTTACTTGAAACACACCTCCACACTAATAGTTTCTTGCGCATCCAGCAGATGCAGAGCAACAATAGGCTCTGCATCTGCTGGATGTGCAATAAACTATGTGCTGACAGTTTCACCAGATCATAACTTAAAAAGAGATAAAATGTTAATGCAGTGTTTCCAGCATGTTACTGCAGCAGCAGCAAAAAAACAAACAAACTAAAGGAAAACATCACTTGGTTTAGGTTTGACTACTCTAATAAGAACTGTGTGACTAATGAAATCAAAGAAACTGTCTGAATCGATCCACAGAAAAAAAAAAGTAGAGCCCAATAATAACAGCCACTTTCCTATGCTCGAGTGATTATAGTTTGTGTGATGATGATGCATTTGCAGCTTCGTCAGTGTTAAATTATATAGCCCAGCTCCTCACCCTCGGCCTCTGTGCGTCTCTCCCTCAGGTCTGGCCCAGTGTGCAGAGCTGTGCTGGCAGCTCCGAGGGCAGGCGGGCAGGAGGCAGGTCCCGGGGGCAAAAGTGGCCTTGCAACACAACATTGGCTTAGGGGGAGCTGTGGTCGTTGCTCTCTACAGGATGGGATTTCCACAGGAGGCCAGGTGAGCAGGAAGTTAGAAACAGTTTATTAGTTCAGTTGGATACTTTATGTAACTACTGTATGTATGTATTATATTTTTGAAGAAGATGCAGTTTATTGTTTTATCCTCTGTTCCTTTTTCTGCAACAAAACATCTGGACTGAAATAAGAGCCTCACATGTAAATGAATCATGATGAGACCTTTTTTAGGTTAAGTCTTTTTTCCACATAGCGTGAACCTTGTGTCTGGTTCTTCCCACAGGTCCCACGTAGCTGCAGTTCTCACCAGCTCAGGCAGCGGCCTGGAGGGGTTTAAAGCTTCCCCTGTCTTCAAAGAGATTGAAAAACATTTAAAGGAGGTAAAACGGCACGCTGTCACTAACAGACATCTCCCTAACACTTCAGCCTAGCTATTCTGATCCTATGGAATCAGTATGTTTGCATCTAATTGAAAGCCTGCATATCTTAGATTTACTTTGTTCCCTTTTCTTCCTTTCAGTTTAATGTCCTTTATTAGGCAAGCGTAGCCACATGTTTCCATAACTACTTCACAAATGGGTCCATTAAAGAAAAGTTAAGGTGGTTACAAATTAGAAACAAACCACTGAGTCCGTCTTCTTTTCTTTTAAAGGCAGTGAGCAATTTATGGTCTTTAGTTGCTTTTATCCACTGAGACATACAGTACTGCACCAACTAAACTACATGAGTTGGACCATAAAAGCAGACAGTCCAAGTATTGCAGTGTCATGGCTGTGAGTCTTATATAATCTTCCTACTTTAAAAAGGCATCATAAGCACAGCTACCATAAAACAAAAAGCACAAAACAAAAGACAAAAAAAAACAAAACAAATATCACGCACCAAATATAAAATGCATTGGAGGTGCAAAGATGAAATGAAAGCTCTAAATCTGAAACTTAAAACAAACACGTGAGCTTTATGTAATTGGATGTTGGATGTTTTGTACTGTAGCGTCTGCAGAAATGACTGACAAGAAGTGGCGTCTGTCGTAATGTTACCAGAAAACACTGTGGTTGTGTTCAAGGTTAATAAATGTGCCTTGAGAATATCACAGGGAGCAGTCATTTATGTGCATTAGTGCGGCTGTTTCCTGAGACCAGACTATATATGTGACCTTCATATATGTACGAAACACTTTTTGAAAGGCAGGTACACTGTCTTAAAGAACACACAGCGACCCCCCCCCCCCCCGAAAAATAAATAAATAAATAAATAAAAACTCATTAATGTTGGCTTTTGATCCCAAAACACCTAATTAATTATAAGAGCCTGTGTTTTCTGACTGACCTATCAGTTATAACCTGCACGTGGCGGTGGCTGGCGCATCAGGTGTTGGTTCTTCATCTCATTCCTAAACCCTGAGAGTGCAGAGGAGCGCCACTTTACAGTGATGGTGTGTGGAGCGGTCAGTTGTGAAGTGTGTCGTAGGGCTGCTGAAATTCCTGAAATCGTCAGGTGGCAGGATTTATACATGTGGAGCATGTATTCATATCAATTTGGATTCCACTCACTCCTCCATTGGCCAATTTAAGGTCAAACAATAACCGTGGCACTCACTCATGGATTTTTTTTAGAATCCGTCGCTCTGAAAAGCTGCAGGAAACTTGAGTGTGATTGACGGTTCCAAGCTTTGCTCATGTTTCTGGAGCGCAGACGTGACTGTGTGCCTCTCCCCACCCAGCGGGTCACCAGAACGGCTCGAGTTGTTTGGAGATGTTTCCTTTCAGACATTTATCGGTGAAATGAGTTTAAATGTTGGTGGTTCTGCAGAAGTTGGTGAGCGGTGTGTGGTTTCTGTGGTCGGGTATTATCTGACCTGAACACCCGCTGTGCACGAATACTAAAATAATATAGAGTGCTCAGATGCATCAGGTCAGCACGGTTGAGGCTAAATTAACTTGCACACTGTGGTGAAAATAACATGAACAGGGTTGTAACTATAAGCTGCACGGCTGGACAGTATAATATCCCCACACTGCAGCTCGTGGCGTTATAATGAAGGATACACAGTGAACAATCAGTATTTCTCTGAATGAGAAGTCAGTCCCACTCCCTCTGTCAAACTGGCTGAACAATGGAGAGACTCAAAGTTCATTTAGGTTGAACTTGGCTTCTGACTAATTATGAGCGGCATAAAAGCTTAATGATGGTGAAGCAAGGCCACAGTTGGCTTCTTGTCTGTTAACTCCTCCACAGTTTCAGCCAGATTAGCTCTTGTATGTTACTCTAGTTTACACTGTATTGCAGCGTTGTACATTTTCGCTGAGGTGATTATTTTCTGAGACTAAACCATGTTCTTTGTATTTAAATTACTCAAGAATACTCTTCACATAACAATGGATGTCTGGTATTAAATGTGAAGTATGTAGGGGGAATTACCGGCTGTATGCGGCAATTATATCATGAGGATTATATTGCGCAGCTCAAAAGCCTTCTCCACTCTCTGCAGGAAGGAGAGCGGCTTGTCAAGAAGATTGGTGGAGTCTTTGCATTTAAAGTGAAGGATGGACCAGATGGGAAGGAGGCGACTTGGGTTGTGGATGTGAAAAGTGGCAAAGGCTCTGTCACCAATGATCCAGGTAGGTGTTTAACTCTGCTGTCAAGGCCAAATAATACTTAGTTGGTTAAAAGCTGTTAAAATATAATTTTCACACAGTAAGACCTGTCCCTCTTCTCTCATACACCTACTGTACCTCTCAGCAGCAGTGTGTAGTATTTTAGGTCCAGATGTTTTAAGTTGCAGCTGCAGTTCTAGAAAAGATGTAAGACTCAGTGTGAAATGATCATTTTGAAATCACAGTAACTATTAAATGGCATCTGTGATGCTGTTGCTACACACCAAAACATGAAACTTGCATTAAACTCTAAATTGGGGGGAAAGAGCAACACACTCAAACACACAGTTTTTAAGAGGACAGTCTATTCTGTCTATTTAATGCCTTAGTCATAAATGTGTTTGTCACTAGAAGACTGTTTTTGCGGGGGAAGGTTTCTCTGTGCTCACCTTAAATGTGAGTGTATATATATATATTTGTATCAAGATGACAAGAGGAAAAGATCTGAGGGACTTTGAAGAGGATTTGTTGTTGGCGCACAGATTGCAGGAGCTTCAGTCACAAAGATGCTCAACCGGTTAATGTGTCAGTAAAACTGGCAACTGACATCTGCATTTAGATCTGTGGGAAACAGTAAGAAGGGTTGGAAATTGTGGTTGACAGCATGTTGGTGTGATATGTAACGCAAGAGAGAAGAAATCTTCCTGAGGCGAGAAGGTCAACACAGGACGTGGTCAGACGGTGTCAGTGAGAGAAGTCTGTTGACATTTGAATAAGAGAGGAATATTAGAGCAGGGATGCCGTGCATGAACCAAAGTTATAATAGTTTGGGATTTTTCATTAGTTTTTTTTTTGTGTTTCTATTTTCAATTTTAGTTTAATTTTAATTAGTTTTCAAAGCAGGTTTGTTAGTTCATTTTTTTTTAAATTAATTAATTATTTTTTTTTAAACTTAGTTCTAATTTAGTTTTTATTAGTTTCAGTGTTTTTAGCTTTTTTTTTGTAATGTATTTATTTTTGTATTTATATTCAATCTACGAAAAAAAAGCTAGACATGCTGCAGCTCTATGGCACATCACTGAAGTTGATTAACAAAAACATACTTTCATACATCTTCATACATCTTCATACATCATTAATACAGTGAATGTTTTGGACACTTAATGTGCAGATGTAGTAGTCGAACACTGAGAACCAATCAGCTAGTTAGATACTGCTCCACACGGCAGAGCTAAAAAATTGGAAGATAGATTTTCTATTCACCCAAAATACTATGAGTTTATATATGACAAAGATGAAAACTTTGCGTAATTTTAGTTAGTTTTGTAAAAGCACAGCACAGTTTCAGTTTATCGTTTTTTCATAGCGCCTCGTTATAAATCCCTCATTACGAAGAAAGATGCACATTTCTTAGTTCAGTGGTGGAACAACCAGAGGCACTGGTCATATTTTGGAAAACAGTGATGGTCAGATGAGTCATACTTCACTTTATTCTCAGTACGTGGGCGAGAGCGTGTTACGCCCATGAAGTTGCGTACTCCAGGAGTGACATACTGTGAGGACAAATAACAAAGGCACTGTGGGTGAGCTGGTCTTCAGTTGCTTTCCTTAAAAATGTAACAATAATCACAATATCAAAATTACTCTATTTCAAAAATGCGATAAAACTATTCACCAGATATTTACAATGTTAATTCTATATTATTTTACTATTTACAATTAAAACCTTTCCTATATAAACAATTATCTTATTCCCCTTTATATATTAAATCACAAAACAATCATATTATATAAGAAAATTTCCCTCTTCCTATTTCTGCAGCATCGTAGCCTGTGCGCTTTCTGGTTGCCTAGCAACGGTAAACTGCGCTGTGCTATTAATCAGCTGCGGCTCGCGCTGTAGCTGTTATTTATCGTTATTAACTGCCCAGTTCGAAAATAACAAATTAACAAAAGTATTGGGACCTAATGACAAAATATACAAAATATAAACATTAACTTGTAACATTAACTTTCTCACACACACACATCCACCAGCGGAGGAGGGCGAACGTCACCTCTCACTCGCTTCCGTTAGAAACACTAAGCTAACACCGACAGTTACACATTTAACATATAAGCGAAATTCTCGACAGCACATAACAGTACACAAAACAGAAAGCACACAGCATTTACAACATGTACGACCCTTTTCCACCTAATTTACCCACCTGCGAGGACAGACAACAGAGGCACTGTGGGTCAGCTGGTCTTCAGTTGCTTTACTTAATAAAACGTTAACTGCCAACTGAAGAACGCAGCTCGCCCACAGCTTATATGGCCTCACAGGTGGTGTCATGTCTGTAAAAACATCAAACATACAGCACATACATATAAAACAACACACATTAATGAGTAGGCAATTAAATAAATAGATAAATAATATTAAATAAATATCCTATGTGCCACACGTACACCAAGAGAACGGTACAGGGCTGAATGTTCAACGCCTACACACTTCTCCTGTTGGGGTCATCGTGTTGCCATGGTTTGGCTCTACTTGACCGCTTAGAGGGAGCGGTCACTGCAAATCAATACAAAGTTGTTCTGTGTGATCACCTCCATCCTATGATCTAACGTTTCTCTCCGGGGGGGGTGGGGGGGTGGTCTCTTCCAGGGTGACGATACCCCCCACGCAAAGGGCATGAGGGGGTGACTCATGTTACCACCATCAAAACAGAAATCGAATCAATGCTAAGGAGCGTTGAATCTGTTCTGGTGGCATGTGGCGACCTGACTAAGACACTGTCGGTTTTTCCTTCACTTTGTCACCATCTGTATTTACGTGACGTTATGACTCTTCTCGACTTGTGGTGATGTTACATGTGATTTTAGTTTGCCACAGCGTGAACATTATCGTAGTTTTATCACAAGAATAAAACAAGAAGTTAAACACATGACACCTCACCCAGACACGTCTGTTATTTCCTGTTTGTTGGCTTATCCAACTCGCTCTGTCGGGTCAGATGATCACGTCTTTAAAGCGACTGACTCTTGGAAAATGAAGGGAAATGTGACATTAACCTGCAGTTGCCACTTGACACCTCAGTGGGCGAGGCTCAGCAAAAGTTGCGTAGTCTCACTTCAAAGATACAGACATTTATTTAAGGTTTCATTGCATCATTATTGTTGGGATAAATGACTGTATTTCATTACTTTTATTTCTTCTAGTTTTATTTTCATTTCTTTTGGACTTTTTTGCATTTAATTGAAATGCAAAAGATTTCATGCGGAGGCTTGTGTGCAGCTCTTTTCTCCTCTGCTCGGTCTGTTTTTGCTGAAGCAGCTTTCTTTTACATGTGAATGTATTTAAATCCTCATATTAATTAACAGTTAACATAAAATAATATTTAAAATAATATTTTGTGATGGGTTTCATGTGTGCTGTCTTAAGACGTATACAGCAGAACAAGTTTTTCTTATTTGAGACAAGAAGGAATAGAGAGGTGGCTGCTGTTAGACACAATATACAGGTACATGACATATAAAGATCAATATGTACACAGTTCATGTATAGTATACAAGAATATAGTGCTGACTTTTAAAGCTTGTAATGTTCAGTTTTTGTTGCAATTGTCAACGATGCGTCGATTTAACACATTTATTTAGGACTGTGAGGATTGCAGTTCCCTATAAGCAATTCACAAACCTAATTTCTACAGATAAAAAACAAATTTTCATCTGATGTTTCATGCCTCAAGCAAATTGATACATATCATCATGCCTGAGGCGCCCTCTTTTTATGATGGAAAAAGATTTAATAGGCTGATGGTGGCGTTCAGGCATTTTACTGAAACACAGCAGGACTGGTTTTTAGTCAGACTGTAGAAATTATTAGTCATAAAGCTTTTTAAATAGTTGTATCAGTGAATTGTGCAGTGTGTGTGTGTGTGTGTGTGTGTGTGCGTGTGTGTGCGTGCGTATGTACGTGCATGTGTGTGTGTGCATGTGCTGCATACAGCATGTTTTTATACCACAGGAAAGGTTCATCACTCCAGAGTGCTCTCTGTTGGTGCATTGTAATCATGGTCACTGACTTTTGCTCGTCATTTTCCCTGTATATTTGTGTGTTTGGAACATCATAGATGGAACTTTATATTTTTAACTTAATGTGTGTACAACAGTCGGTAAATATGAAGTTTTTTTTGTGTATGGGTTTGTTTTTGGGGGGGGGGGGTTTGCCTTCTGTGGTAGTTACCCATAATGAAGTTCTTGCTTCATTTGTTTTCCTCGTAGATAAAAAGGCAGACTGCACTTTGTCCATGAGCGACGAGGATCTTCTGGATTTGATGACAGGAAAGTTGAACCCACAAACGGTGCGTGTAATTATGTATTAACCTGACCTTTGTCACAAAACATTACAGTTAAATGTAAAAAAGTTATTACTTTTAATTAACTGTAAAATATAATAAGAACCATTATATTTTCGTTTCTAGGACATTAGGGCAAATTTATTTCTTCCTAAATACCATCAGGATTGCTTTCACCCCTGTAGTTTGGTTCATTTCGTCTGGATCGTGGAAAAAAAAAAAAACTATTGCTGCCTTTTACTTCTGGTTCAGTTCGTGTTTAAATTGAGTTTTTACAAACAAGCCATGAGCTGTAAACATGACGTCATATAGACTGACAGTTTCTGTGACCGTCATCGTGCCTCATCAACGCTGCCTGGACCCACATGGTGAAATCAAATTCTGATAACAGACCTCAGGTCATAGTGAACTTTACTGCACCTTATGGTGCCATTTATCTGCTCTGGTGTGCTGAAATACACGGAGTAGGACACCTGTACAACACACAGCTGATTTAACTCCTTTTCACTTTCTGTTGAATCACATACGTGTTGCCATGGTTACAGTTCTTCCTGTGAATTCTCACTCCCCATACATAAGTGTTGATTGTGCTGGCTTCGCTGTAAACTCTGAGGAATCATTTTTAATGCCTGACATTGACGTGCTGTGAATATAAGTTTGAAAAATGCTGTTGAGGGCAGCCATTTCCAATAATCTGCCTTTTATGTGCCGAGCTTCTGCATACAGCATACTGATTCTGAATGAGAAAATACCAATAGTTCACTTTTACATTGCTTACAACAGAAAGTTTCTTTGGCCATAAGATGGTAAGTGAACGAACAAATGATAAAGATTTAAGAAAATGGGTTGGATAAGGTCATGAATTGTTCAGTGTCTTAGTGACGAAGAAACATTTTGAGTTGCTGAAAAATGTTGTTGAAACGACTCCACTTTAAATGTTACAATAATTACAAAATAATGTTTTCTGCCACATTAGAATACGATGTGTTTTCCTGTCAAATTCAGTGTCAGCGTATCAGCGATGCATCTTTCAGTAACTAAAGTATTAAAAATGCAATTTGAGGGAGTTAAAAGCTTTTTCATCTCTCTCCTCTCTCCTCCGTCTCCTCAGGCGTTCTTCAAAGGAAAGCTGAAGATCACTGGAAACATGGGTATGGCTATGAAGCTGCAGAACCTCCAGGTTGCACCAGGCAAGGCCAAGCTGTGAGACCTGGAGTTAACCTTTGGTCCTTTGAGCAACAGTTCAAAGGACAAAGCAAAACTTGATTTGTCCTCTTGAAACTTTAATTTTTGCTAATCAACAAACTCACTTCATAATGTGTTTGATTTTGAGAGACAGTCCTTAAAATTTCGCTTTCAGCTGCTGCTTTGATATCATTGTGCATACAGAACGGCTACTGTACACATTGTTGGGTCTAGACCAATCAGTCTTTGGATTATGAAGCATCCAGTGAGTCTAACAGGAGCTGCGTGTGAGTGTGAGTGGCTTCACAGTTTGTCAAAACGTGCCTCTGACCTCTGTCTATAACATTAACTAAAGCCATTTTTGGCCTCAACCATTTTCATAGATAATTTTGTATAGAATATATACTGTAAATGAATGAAATTATCTTTTTTTTTTTTAATAAATCCTTCACTTACAATACAAATGACAATCTTCTGGAGTGTTTTTCCTTTAAAGTAGGCCGGGTCAGTAATATAAATAAAGATATTAAGATTTGCCATCTTTGTGTTTCATCACAGCGTGAAACTGTTCTATTATCAACATATTGCAGTTCACACTTATGTCCAGATGAGTCAAGACATTTACCTTTTAAAGTCTGTTACAGCATGAGATCTTAAATACATTTTTAAAACAGTATTTTCTTTTAGTAAAATATTGAGAAAATGTTTTTCACATTTTTATAGATATCATAATAAATCGATAGAGTGGAAGCAGCCTTATAAAAATCAGAACTTGTACGTGTATTTATTTATGTTATGTTAGTTCTTCAGTTCAGGCACAAATAAATTCACTTGTATTGACCTGATTTAGCTCCGTGATGTAACAATGCATCACAAAAAAGATTACAGCTAATTGTATCAGTTGCCCAGCACAGTTAACGCTGTCAGTACAAGACTGTGCTCGGTGCAAAACAAAACTTACACAATGGGTAAGTTATTATCACTCCACACTCCCTGCTGTGCTGCGCTTATAGGAGTGACGAGGTCAGAGCCAATATCAATGCTGCAAATGTATTAAAAAGGAAAAGCTGAAATATCACATTGACATAAGTATTCAGACACTCTGCTATGTCACTTGAAATTCAGTTTAGACACACACTCGTCTATATGGTCTGACAGCTGACGCTGCATATCGGAGCAGAAACCAAGCCGTGAGCTCAAAGGAACTGACCGTAGAGCTCAGACAGGATTGTGTTATGGCTTTGTCATCACTGGGTATTGATGAGGGAAAAAATCGAAACATTTAACCCCAATTAGCATGAAGCCTCAACATAACAAAATGTGAAAAAAGAGAAGGAGTCTGAATACTTTCTGAATGCCCTGTTTTTCTGATTTGATCCTGACATCTCCCTGTTGGCCGTTCACCACTGTGCACCTTCCGCCACATCCAGCCTGTGCTCCTAATTGCTCCTATCAGGCCGCCTCGGCTCCCTTTAGCCCCTCCCCCATCCTGTCCCTCTGCCAGGTGGCCAGCTGGCCAAATGGCAATATGGAGTGGCTGCACAGGCGACACGGCTGCCTGCCTGTCTCACTGACCATTAGCAGTGGGCTAATGGGTCTTTAGGAGATGTGGTGGGGTGAGGTGAAGCGGAGTGGTGTTAGCTGAGGATTTTCAGGCTTGGTTCGCCTCAAGTCAACTTCAGAAGCTCAGCCTGCATGAGTAACCTCGGCCCAAAGTTTTCCTAAAAAGTAAAATAAAAGTAATTATCGAACACGCTCTATTGAAAGAGACACATCATATCTGCAGAGGCCTGGTCTTTGACATTTGTTCAGTGGATCAGTCGTCTGCACATAAGCAATCATCAAAGTTCACCACCTGCCTATACCGCTGAGAAAATATATCCAGCATGTGTAAATATGACATTTGGAAGTGTCTGACCCTCTGGCGTGGAGTGGGCTCATGTACAGCGAGTATAAGAGCTGGACTCTTTTTTTAACAGCATGCTGAACAGAATGAGTGTGTTTGGTCAGTGGGTCGGCAATTGCGCCCAATTCCTGTTATTTGTTCTTCAAGGTTTCTGTGATGATGCTGTTTCTCTGACATTTGTAACCCAGTCTTGTTCAAAGGCTGTGCCTGCTGTTGCTAGTTTTTTATTTTTTTGCTTTTTTTTTTTTTAAATCAGCAGAGGGACCAGTGAAATGATATCTTATAGCACACTAAGCCTGGACTATAGACCTGTGACCTCCATATGTACAGTAGCTATGCTGCTGCACTGGTGTGGGTATTGGTGTGTAGGCTGTGCAGTATAATTGCTTTTCTGTACTTTTTATAAGTAGATTTCTGGTTTAGGTTTTTCCCATATTGAATTCTTTTATTACACATTTTTTAAGACGACTAAGCATTCAATAAAACTTAATGCAAGGTATAAAATAACTGAGAACCGCAAAAGACCTATGCCTAAAAGTATCTTCAATATGCTGGATAGCAATACATTAGGTTTTCTGATCAGCTGTGACATAAGGACTTTTAATTCTCCACATTTAAACACCTTCACAAATGAGGAAAATGGTGCAACATGAAACCAAAATGTCATAAAAAAAACTGTAGTTTTTGTGTGTTTTTAGACAAAAGACTGAAATCCTTGAAGTCATTAACTGACAGTCATCTTTAGAGTGAACATAAGCGCCACAGGGCAGATCAATATGGAAATTTTACCTGAGCCCATTTTTAATCATTCCTCCATGCTGCTCCCAAGTGCATTTCAGCAGTAACCAGCCCGCAGCGGTAATCTTGTAAATCTCCTCTCTTTACACATTCGATACTTCAGTTGACTTTAGTTCACATTGGGATTTATTCATGTTTGAAAAGGACCTTTGTTCAGGTGAATAAGTAAACGGCTGCCTTTTCTTAATGCTTTTAAGAGAGAGCATGCAGCTCGTCAGGTTTCTAAATGAAGCGTTGAATACTCGCGCTTCTGCAGTTTTCAGTCCTTTTAAATATCATGTCCTTTTATTACATCTGCAGTTCTTCCTAACCGTATACAAAAAATAACTCGGTGTGCTGTTTGTATATTTTTGATATATTTTTCATTCCTCAGTGTTTTCTTTTTACAGAGTTGGTACATTTTTATAAATTTTAGACTACAGTGAAACGTTTCTTTTTACAAATACAGAATGGCAGCTTTTGACATGGTAATGAAATCTAAATTATAATTTTTTTAAAGTTTTGAAATACATGTAAAGCATAATATCACATACATTTGGACAGAGTTCAGTGCTTGACGTGTTATTGTCGTCTTGTATTGTTTTGTCTCGTGTTTCAGCGGTCAGCAGTAACGTTCTGGTCCCGTGTGCTTCTCCTTTGGTCGTTTAAGGCAAAGAGGGAATACGATGGGTGCAAAGACGACTTGACATGACTTCAACACAAGGGCAAACACTCGTCTTCATTTTTCATTGTGATCTTCCTTCTTCATTTTTGCCTTGATTCTGGCAATGACTATACAGTACTGCAGGTATGAGGCAGAGTACCCACTTAGACTCAGGACAACAAGGCAGTGAAGACAAGTGTAAGGAAAGGTGTTGCTGAGAAAGTGTAAAGAATTCCATTTTGTTTTCCCCTAAAAAATCGTTTGTTTCTTCGATGTGAACCAAACTGTTGCATATGTGTGTTCAACTAAAGGTTTCTGGTTATAGTTCAATTATCTTGTTTTGTCTCCTTGTTGTGCGCTTTATTGAGTCAGTGAATCTATTGGAAAAATACTCCAAACAGGCAACATCTTGCCTAAGATTGATTATAGAGAACACAATGACAAAAAAAAAAAAAAAAAGAAATATACAAAAAAGCCCAAACAATAAAATTCTATAAACATACCAAACCAGATTGTAGTGAATAAAAAGAGATATGTGTGAATGTTTTTGTTTTTTTTTTCTTTTCTTTTCTTCGCAGTCCACAGAGGGATAGGGTCCTTTAATTACATCTGATATTAGCTATTGTATTCTCCGTTTCGGCTCCTTTGAGACGGGCTGACTCACAGATCTGGGAGGATGTTAGTGAAACCTTGAACAGGATCAGTTCTCTGGTTTGAAATGTTCATCAGCCAGAGCAGCACGCCGTCACTGCTGATACCAAATAATACATCTGATAAATATGTACACTCACAAACATACACAATCAATTGTGGGTCATCATTTAGGTTATGTAGCAAAAAAACAACTGTCTTTTGTTTCCCTGTATTCATCCACTCTCGGCCACTCTCCTTCTCGGAGGAGAAAAGCATTTGACCATAGTCACCTCAGCTCTTTAATTTGTCTTCCTCTCCTGCAGGCCCTGAAGCTGTGGATGTGCCATTAGCTGCTAAGACGGCAGCTACTTTTATACATTAGTCTCCAGCCCGTTCATATCAATGGAACAGTGGTCCTTGTCCCTGTGCTCTCTCTTGTGATGAGAGGAGTGTGCGTGCTTCTTCTTCTCTATCGGCCGAACCCCCTCCTCCAGCTGGATCAGGCGAGCCACGTCCGGGGAGAGGTGGTCCTGTTTGCTGCCCGGGGGAGGCGGCTGGTAGCAGCCGTTCTTCTGGTTCTGGTAGTTTATCATCTGCTGGATGCTTATCATGGGTTTAGTCTCGCAGATCAGAGGCACCTGGTGGATGCAACGAAGAAGAAGACGGGGAGGAGAGAGAGTCAATTAGTGTCTTTATTAAGAAGGTATTGCTCATAAGTGCCACGAAACTAGAGACATATAAATTCTGAATATGTGTTGTACACAGAAAGCTATTATCCAAGGTTGGATAACGGCTTCTCTGGCTCCACCAACAGTTCAAAAATAATAATAATGGCAAGAAAGTAAATCAAGCCATTTCCCAATTCATTTAAAACAGCTGTACAGCTGTTTCATGTAAAGACAAATATTGATAATCAATAAATTAATGATCTGCAGCCTCAGAATCCATTGATCTGGCCTTGGATGCTCTCACCTGCTCCCCCTCTTTGACAAAATCTTTTCTGCAGATATGAGCCATGATGCCTGTGGCCAGGGCGTCACCCATCACATTGACCATGGTCCTGAATCGATCCCTAAATGATAAAACCAAAAGTCATTCACAGTGTTAGTGAAGCCGTCATTCAGGTGTAATATTTCAAATATGTAAAGTATGTTGTCAGGTGCCGTTTCCGTATATTTTGCTGATTGCATCTATTTATTAATTCCTGGAAAGAAGCTATTGATTCAACTTCACTGGAAAACAGTAAAATGTCATGAACATTTCCTGAGTTGGAAGCTTTGATTGTGTTCAAGCTACTCACTGTGGAAAGATTAACCCTTACTTACAGAGCCCAATCAACAGCAATGATGAGAGTGATGTCATCGGTGGGCAGACCCACTGAGGTCAGCACGATCACCATGGTTACGAGTCCGGCCTGCGGGATTCCTGCTGCACCGATACTGGCTGCAGTGGCAGTGATGCTGGGGGGGAACAGACAGAGGAGCAGAGTGTGATTATTTTATAACATACAGGAACAAGTCCTCATCAAAGGTGTACGTGATCTGACTGAAGTGAGGGAAAGTACAGATTTGTCTGTGACGGGTAGAAAATAAAAGGATATAGTGAATGTAAGGAAACTGGTAGAAAGTCATTATTACAGTAATCAAATACAATTTTGAGGTACTTTACTTGAGTACTTTCATTTTTTTGCTCCTTCATGCCTCACAATATTTATGGTTTTTACTCCACTACATTTACACGACAGCTACAATTAATTGCATATTAAAGTTTTTTCATACAATACACACGATCAGCCTGCAACACGGGTTCCCAACAGCTTTTGTGACTGATCTTCTACAATGCTGAGACCTTGTGATGCTCAGGTAGCGTCCACATACAGATTTGCTGGAAGGTGGTGATGACGAACCGGTAACCTTCATACTGGTGACCTACGTTAGTTCAAAATCAGTAGGTTATATTTTTATTGAGGGGTGTTTTGCTAGAATCGCCCACTTAATAACTACCAGCCTGTCGACCTTTCTAGAGCTGTAGCAGTTTACACTGAAAACTGGCACTTTGTGAAACAGCGGGCCCTTGATTTCACACAGAAACAATCGCGGGCTCCTCATTTCCAGCCAGTGACTGTGAATTTTTTTCTGCTGAAATAAAAAACTGTTGCAGATTTTGTCAGCTGTAGTTAGCATAAGCAAGCTGTTGACAACTCTCTCTCTCCAGCTGACGTTGTTGTGTTTCCAGTTGACTCACTTTAACATTAGAACCATGAAAAGGAGGTATTTTTCTGCTGTAACCTGTTGCCCCACAAATTAATGGCGTTAACAACATACCCCTTGCTTGGTAACGCTCAGTGAAGAAAGCTAGTTAGCTGGGCATGCTTGCATTTCCAGCTTATATTAAAATGGATAAAAACACTGTTCAATTAATTGCTTACTCTTTTCTTCTTGTATTTATGGTTTTGAAAATATCTTCTATAATATTTAGATACTGAAAATCATTCGTCCTACAGCTCCATAGACACTTTTTTTACTTCAAGTACATGATACCTCTGCACTTTTACTTAAGTAAAATTTTCATTGCATTTAATTTTTACATTGTATTATAGCTTTTAATTAAGCGAAGAGTCGTAATGCTTCTTTCTGTGCTGCAAATGTCCTCGGTGGCGGGGCGGGGCTGGGGTGGGGGGTGGTGCTAGCATGCAGATGGAGCAGCTCCATGGTCAGCAGCCAAACGGCACGGGAACAGGACGCAGAGAGGGAAAAATTATTATAATTCTGGCGTGACAAGGGAGATGAGTAATACAGGTCATATGGGTTTTACCGCCAAGGGATTATGAGGGAATGGGCACAGACTGCAGCCATGAGTAGAGGTCTGCTTAATGTTATTACAGTAGGACATGTCATCAAATCAGAGGAGGAAAAGGACTTTTTTTCTAGACCTGGGTGGGCTTGTGTACCTGTGGTTGAAAGCTACAGGGTGGTGGTGTTGGTGGCTGTTGGTGTTTTTGTCTGTCCGTCAGTCAGTCAGTCTGTCTGTGTGTCTGTCTGTGTCCCTGGGGCTTCCAGACTGATTTAGCAGAAATCAGATCAGACTAAGAAGCTCATATGAAGCGTAATCTGTGTGACATTTACATATATGTGTATCTAGTAAATCCCATAATATTTTTTATTAATTCAGAATTAAACTAAATGTGTGACGTTAGATTAATTCACACGTTGCACTCAGAACACCACCAGTATGCCCACACCATTTTTTGACCCAGATGAAATTTGCTTACGTCGTCACACATTGGGAAGTTTTTTCCTCATTTGCAACAATTCAGATATTCAGATAAAAACCAGCCCGAAGAGCTGATAATGATTTCAGAAAAATCCATTTATTCACGTTCTTGCTAAGAGTGAGATGAGAAAATTTAAACCACTCTCATGTGAGGGGCAAACAGATATCCTGGGTACGTCCAACCTCCACCTATCGCTACCTTAGATTGTCAGTCGCCAGTGGAAACTCATGGAAATTAGCTCAGTACATAAGCATAAGTGTTTCATGAATAAATTAAAGTAATAATAAAATGCACAAAAATATTCACTTTTTTTATGTAAATTTAAAAAATGAGATGTGTTTATAAACACTGTGTTGATAAATGAGCTGGAAGGTGGATTTTGTTATCTTTGGACACAGTCAGGTTAACTGTTTCCTCCAGCTATGTTTGCTCTGACTGAAGGAAACAAAAATACACCTTAAAATCTCACTAATTAAAATGTTACATCTTATTTGTTTCATCTGTACAAAAACAAGAGCCAAGTGAGCTGTTTCCCCCCGTTTCCCCCTGTTTCCAGTCTTTATGCTAAGATAAGCTAAACTAAGCGAAATGTATGCAAATGTGAGAGTGGTGTCAATCTTCTCATGTAACTCTTGACAAGAATGTGATTAAGTATTTTTTTTAACTGTTCCTATAAAAGCGTATTTCAGTGATTAAATGTTGGTTTGTTGGCATTTTGGTGAAGGTGAGAGATTCACAAGAAACAGTTTAATAAATGAAAGAAAGAACAAGCTATCCTGATGTTTAGTTTCAAGTGAAGGGCAAATATTCTTTCAGGTTTTTGAAACCTCAGTCAAGATCTACAGAAGACATTATACAACTGTTTACAGGCTGAATCGTACACCGTGTGACCAGGACTGCCCCTCTAAGCCCTGTGCTTCTATTTCACCGTTTTTATAACCCATCCAATAAAATCAATAAATTGTAGTAACTGCTGTTAAATAAAAAGCTTTAGGGAGCTTCACAGATGTGTGATTAAGGAGTTGGGAAAAACGTCTTACATTTTTGACCTCCATCATCAGCTGACGTTTAATAGCTCCCAATTTCCCATCAAAAGTCCGTTTATATGAGCTTACTCCAGTCTAAATTTAGTTGCCCGTACCTGATTGTTATAATCTGCCCAAAGTCAAGCTCATAATTATTCACTTGGGCGATGAAGATGGCTGCCACGGCCTCGTAGAGCGCGGTGCCGTCCATGTTGATTGTGGCCCCGACAGGCAGCACGAAGCGGATGATGCGTCTGTCGATGTGGTTGTTCTCGAGGAGGCACTTGAAGGTGATAGGCAGAGTGGCAGAGCTGCAGCAGAAAAAGATAATGATAACAGCTTTTCAGACTCGCCACTAATCGAACCAGGAAACGTCTCTCACAGAAGCAGCGATTATGTGTTAAATAATTGTTGTACGTCAAACTCTTTAGTTACATTATTCCAAGTAGCTATTTTCTCTGTGGGGAGACCTTTTCTCACTTTTGAGACAAAGTAAAGAAAAAACCCAGAGTGCTCTGAAACTGCCTCTAATTGGTGTTTATCCATTTGTCAGTGTATTTAATCACTAGGTTGGTTGCATTGGCATTGTATCTGCCAAAGCTGTTGATATTGAAACCGAAAAGCAAAAAGTACGTGATTAAAATGTTTCTCCCTTTTGTAATTCTGGAAAACTGTTGATCTCAGGGTTGATTTACATGTAGAAGAACATATGTGAGAAAGCTGAAAAATTACACACAAAAGCTCAAGAGCCTTCATGTACCCTGCTTTGTTCATGTTTTTCATTATTTGAGCAAAGCTGTTTAGTTGATACCTGATTGCTGCAAAAAGATTACTTTATTTTATTTAGTTCAGTGCCTCAATTATCCAGCACCCATAATCAAAAAAAACAACAACAAAACAAAACTAAAAAAAACACTGAATAGTTTTATATTTCCAGATTCCTTCGACACTGCACTGAACGACGTCTGAATATTTCTCATCAGTCAGAGAGCTTTCGAAGAGGAGGTATAACAAGGTGAGGTCTGACTGTCACCGCACTGCACTCAGTAGTAATGCTGTTCACCCCTCTGAAAGGCCACAAGATGTAGTGTTGTTTGAAAAGACCAATACGTGTCCAACTAAAACATAAAAGACAGCCTTGGGGTGGAGTATAGGTTGAAAGGGTTGAACCCCACAAACATCCATTTCATTCAAGGTGAATTCCATTATCTGCTCCATTTACACTAGAAATACATTACAACAGCTCATCTGCTCTGACATCGGCACTCTCCCAGTTGGTTGTTATTTTTGTTGAACCGTCAAATGAATCTTATTATTGTTATTATTTTCACTCATCCAATAAGAGTCTCAGGTGACAGCATGCGATGTCCTACATTTCTATCCTAGAGATAAACAAAGCAAAATGTTGGGAACTTGATTAAATGGGTTTATTCTCCTGAAGAAATTCAGCGAAACACACATTCACAGCCGCCAAAATTTGTAAATGAATATGAATATGAGCAAATGTAAATTGTGAAAAGTCAGATCTTTCAATTTTACCTGGACGACGTGGCCAACGAGATGAGCAGGGCCTGCAGAATGCCTCTGATGTAAACGATGGGGCTCTTCTTCGTGATGAAGAAATACATGGCCGGGAGGATGAAGAGGCCGTGCAACACCAAACCCATTACCACCGTGATGGCGTAAAAGCCCAGCTTCTTCCCCATGGCAGAGGGGTCGTCCATCTCCAAGATCTTTCCGGCAACCAGGAACACGATCCCGAAGGGGAAATACCTGGGAGGGAAAGGAGGGAGGAGGGAAGGAAGAGAGAGTTAGTTTTTCTGGGTATCAGCTTCAACATAAGCTTTTTTCCCAGAATGTTATTTCTCTTTATTTGGTCAAGTCGGTTATCATGCATCTGTTATTCAGAAACAGCTCATCACGTCAGCAGTACAGAAACTAGAGTAGGAAGTGTAATGTTTTCTAGGGTGTTAAAATGGAAAAAAAAAAACAGATTGAAAAAGTCCTGATGTGGTTCCATCTGAGGTTTTGATCACTGTGATCAATAACAGCAAAACTGCTCGCAAATGTTGTTACGGTACTAAGAAGCAAGACTAAGACTTTCCAGCCATGCTAGCAGCTCTATGAGGCTGTACTGAAGCACTGTGGTGCTTTGAGCTAAATGCTAACATCAGCATGCTAATGCTCTGACAATGACAATATTAACATGATGATGTTTAACAGGTGCCATGTTTACCAAGTTCATTATCCTAAGTTAGCATGTTAGCATGCTAGCATTTGGGGCTCATAGAAGTGTCATTAGTTTTGCAGGCATTTGTTCATAAACAAAAGTGTTGGAAAAAAATACAAATTTTGACCTGATGATGATGCTAGATGATAAAGTGAAGGGATCATCAAAGTACGTTTCTTCCTCAGGGCAACATGAATGTTTTTACCAAGTTTCCAAAATCTATTATTAGTTGTGACATTTTCACTCAAACAAAAAGTGTCAGCCTCATGCTGGTGCTGCAGAAAAATTCAGAGGATCGCTGAAGTCGTAAGGGATTCATCCTCTGGGGGCCCATGAATTCATGTTAGCTTGGCTAAAATCAAGAACTCCCTCATGCTGATCTGGAGAAATTGATCATTATCACCAGTATCAGCAAAACTGCTCTCAAATGTTGTTACTTTATTTAATGTTTACATCCAAGATACATCTCTTACCAGATGACGATGGCAACAATCTTCAGAACGGCCTCATTCAAACTCTGGCAGAAGTTCACCAAAGCACTTCCATTGGGTCCCATTCTTCCCAACATTATTCCTGGATTGAAGAAAAAAAACAACAACAAATGTTGCTCATATGAACTGATTGGACTTAAAAACACATTGCATAACTTGCCTCATGCAACATGTTATTCAAGCATCCATGGAATGAAAATGCTTTCAGCAAATGTAAAATGATGAGAATGACGTCATTTCTTTTTTCTCTGCTTTCCTCGTGGGAGCATTTAAAATAAATTATGCAGAGATGTGATCGAGCCAATACTTCATTTAGACAATTTACATGGTTAATGCGTTTGCGCTGTGCATGTTACTGTGTGAAGGTGTGCGTGCACGAGCCATGCCAGTCACTCACCCATGGTTGCAGAGAAAATAACAATCCCCAGCACATTCATGCCTTCGCTGGTACCAGGTGATGTTTTCATGATGACGTCAGGCGGCGGTGTGAGATCCAGGGAGAAGTTCTGGACGTCTGTGCCGTTGTCATCCTGGATGCCGTAGATGTAGACCCTGCGCGTGGTGGTCTCGTCCAGGAGCTGAGCCACCGTTGGTTTGGGGATGAGTTCTGGGACTCTCTGGGTTCGATACTTAAAAACACAAAATAAAACAAAACAGAGCATCAGCATTGTAAACATAAAACTAAACCGGCAGATTGTCTCATGATAATGTCACACCTGTGTGGGGCTCATATCAGAGGTGTTAATGTTTAAATAGAAGAAACACATTACAGTTGTGAGCTGACAAGTCATTTTAACGCCAACATCTCCAGCTGTTTCTATGGTATTTATGATAACGATGAAATATAGTACTCCACAAGGGTCACAGGCCACATATGTATTTTCCTATATGCCAATATATAATTTCAATGTTCATCTAAAACCATGAGTTGCATGGTAAAGAACACCACTCTCACGTCTGCATGCTACATACGAAGCTACAGCCACAGACAGTCAGTGTAGCTTAGTGTAAAGACTGGAAACGGGGGAAACTAACCGTATCAACTCATACGTCTCAGACTCTCCGCAAGAAAGCGAACAAGCAAGTATTTCCTAAATATTCCTAAAGTATTGCTTTAACTTCAATTCCAAAATATCGGTGCTGTTTGTTTTTGGGTTTTTAACATGTTGTCCTACTTTTTCCTTTTAAGTGAATCTTTACCTTCATCATTTCAGCTTACCTGTTGAAATGTAGCTTGAACCAGGTTGGCTGGAAACATGTTGCTGGGGAAGAGAATTTTGAGAAAAGATTAAGTCCTTCAATGGATGGCAGATGTGGCAATACTGTAAAAATTATATATAGTTTTAGAATAAAACTAATGTTCAAAATGTCCTTCACACAGTGCGTGGTCACGCTGAAGAACACAATGTCTTCATTCAACATAAAGAAAGATGTTTTCCTGTATCTCTCTTAGTTTTAGATCGGTTTTAAAAACAAAATTATTGATGTTAACATGAAACCACACCAGATATAATATGTTAAATTATACTGCAAGACAATAGTGAATTTATAAAATATTTGCAGGAGCTGCATNGAAACCACACCAGATATAATATGTTAAATTATACTGCAAGTAGTACTGCAGGTATTGATTTTCTTCACATCCTATAATTGGATTCATTAGCATTCCTTATGAAATGAAAATTATCCCCTGTTTGCAATTTTACTAAATTTTTTTCTGCATGGATCTTGGGTGATGAAAGTCCTCACAATCTTCATTATTTCCATCTGAAAACTGCTCAGACAGGAGAAAAGTAATACACTAACAGCTATAAAAAAAAAAGTGCTCTGCCTGCCAGGGGTAGTTATAGCAGAGGGGACTGGCGCTCAATGGGTAAGGAGCAGAGACGGATGAAACCTCAGGACGGAGGAGTAGGTAGAATAAAGGAAAAGGGACAAAGGTAGTAGAAAGGGGGAAATAAATGAATGTATATATAAATACATGGAATGGAAAATGGATGCCCAACAACCATCAAAACCTTCAAGCTTTCAGATCAAAGTTTGCTCATCTGATTTAACAAAGATAAAATGGCATCGGTTGGTTAGTGGTCAAATACACCCCAGGTTGGCTTCTTTAGTGATAACGTTACTTTTCTTTGTTGAGTTTACGTGTTTTCCACATGAAATGCAAGTTTGCCTATAGACTCTAAATTGCTTGTAGGTGTGAATATGAACAGTTTTCTGTCTCCATGTGTCAGTGTGGTGAATCACTGGTGAGCTGTACTGGGTGCACTCCGGCTCTTGCCCAGTGTAAGTTGGGACATGCTCCAGCCCTTCGTAAACCCTGCACAGTATGGATAATGTATGAAATATATGGGTGGATATATGTACTTGAATTGCTGTAATTTCTCAGTCGAGATAATTAAATGGGAGGCGCACTGCTACACAGACTATACAGACTTGTAGTACTGTCACATGGCAGAGGAACCTGGAACAATCCTTTCTTAGATAAAAAGTAAAGGACTTGAATATTTTTTATGCTGCTTGGTTGGAGACTGTGGCTCAGATGTTGAATTGCACTTGAGCGAGCCTGAGAGCTACATTTCAAAGCTCTTTGTGCCATAGATAAATACAAGCTATTTTCTAATAATACTGGATTTATGCCTTTAAATGAGATTATGAAGTGTTCTACAATACAGACTGAAACCAATATACATAATATCCTAATACGACAAGAGTAGAAAGAAGCATACATAAGATATATAAAACTCTAATGGTAATTAAAATAAAAAACTAAAATTGGAATATTATTAAAGTTTTAGAAAAGGATTTGTTTTTTAAAGTTTTTAACCTTGACTGAACTTAAAAAATTAAAGTTAAATCTACATAATTCAATTAATCCATCTGAAAAAGATTTTTTAAAGTCGAGACAAACCTTTTTTATGTTTAACAATCTATTATATTTTATATTTACCACCATTGTCATCACTTTGGACTTAAAATATTAACTTTTAATGGCCTGATCAAGTCTAAAACAGTAGGGATAATATGAAGCTCCTTCTGTTTGTAGTGCAGGCTGCCTCCATTTAACTACAGGCTACAGAGTGATGTACATCATGTAGCATTCTTCATGCAGAGAAGTGTCTGTTAATCACATCAAAGTCAGCAAAGCTTTAGTGCTGGCTGTAAACGCCACATCACATCAGAGCTCAAATCACAATAAGAATTCAAACAGCACATTTCAGATGCAGGGAGATTAAGAGGCATATTGTATTTTACAGCATTAAACAGAGTGACGTTAAAGAAACATATGGCAAACATATACACTTATGGTGCAACTCACTATAGTAGGTGTATTCTGCATGGATTTGACCACTTAGCCACTCAGCAGGCTGCTCTATGTCTAAGACAGAGCAAAGCAGGCTAATGAACCACTCCGATCCCAGAGCCCCTAATAAATCCAAGTATGCACATATTCATACATACTGTGCTCATTATACATACTTATCACCCCCCCCCCCCCCCACACACACACACACACACACACACGACCGCAGACAGTGGGGCCCATTTGTGAGTGTACCGATATAGTATCCCTGCATGATAGATGAAGGCTGTAAAGAAGCTTTGCGAGATAAATCCAAAGCACAGCTGTGCTCTGTAAAACACACAAACACACACACACACACACGCATACAAACACATGCGCTGAGATCCCGTGAACGACGGAGCTTCACCACATGATCAGTACATAGTTGGATTTCATGGGCTTGGCCAGTTTATTACTCCATTTTTTTTTTTTTTTACATTTTGGTTGAAAGTGACTCACTCAAATACAGTTTATTTCCACTATGATTTCATTTTGTTATTAAAAGTCTCAGATATATTAAAAATGATATCAGACTCCAAACAATATGAAAACATTACTTTTAAAGGATCAAGTGTGAATTATTTTGAAATTTAAAATTGTGTCAGTTTCTATTGTTCACTGTGTATTTGTGATAAAATACCGTTCTGAACTTAAACATTCTGCGACTGGAGTCGGAGCCTCAGCGGCTCTCTGCACCGCAGACCGCTGACTTTATCCCACTGACCGACTGTCACACTGACACAGTGGCTCTCAGGGCCTTCGCCGTCGTGTTTCTCACTGCGGGGCTGACCCAGGCTCACCTCTAACACACCACCTCCATCCTTCAGCAGCGCTAATTAGCTTAGCACAATAACCCCCTGGCACACGAGGCTCCAGGCTTTACGCTCTGACCTCAGGTGCTTCCCTGACTTCAGTCCTCATGAAACCCTGCACGCAGAGCAAGAAATGTGCATATCAGAGGACACACACTCTCTCTCTCTCTCTCTCTCACTTGTCTCCGAGGTTAGAAGCAAATGTAGGTGATTTTTGTTAATGTCCAACAGTCAGGAGCTTTTGTGTTGTGTTTACATTGTGTATCTTGTACTGATGTCCATTAACATGCATTGTTCCAAATCCAATAAAACAAACAGATAAATTAATTAACAGCGGCCCCCTAATGTTTTTAAATCATGCCATCCCTTCATTACATTTTCTATTTGTGGCAGCCTCCATTGATTTCTGTTATAAGAATTTATCTTATCAATAAAGCAACATAAATAATGAGTGATGTCGACTGGCACCACTGCTGTGCATTTCACATATTTTAAACAAGGGTGATGTCCGTCTTTATTGCCTGTGCTTTTGAAAAAGTAATATAAAGAAATACAGTTCATGTAAATGTAGTGAAACAGAAAGAAATGAGAATTATCTTGCAACACCCTGTTGTCTGTTATTATGGCACCACAGGCAGACTGTCCACAAGAAGCCCAGAGCTATGAATGTACTGTATATTCATTCAAGTCATGGTGTCTGTCTCCCTTGTTGTCTTCTGTATCCACATGCGCAAAGGCAGTGACGTTGCTTAGGTGCAAAAGCACATCTGGGCCACCTATCATTTCCTATAAGGATGATGATGATGATGATGATGATGATGTATATGTAGGAGAAAGATGACAGCCTCTTACCGAATGAGATCCAGCAGAGCGTCAGCAGAGCTGGTCATGGGCTTCTTGCTTTCCTCAGAATCCTCCTTCTGCGCGGCTCCACCTGGGTGGATGATGTACACCATGATGATGCCCACTACCACGGCAACAAAGGTGGTCCAGAGGTAGTAGGAGATGGTCATGATGCCCAGCCGGCTGGAGCACTTGGCGTCCAGGGCAGCTAGACCTGACATCAAACTGAGGAATAGAAAGATAAACAGACAGGGAGAGAAAAGTCCATGTTAGATACTGAGAAGAGAAGAGAGAGAGAGAGAGAGAATTGTTTTTGTTCTGCATCACTTTTCAGAAGTGGACACTGAATTTCAGTTTCCCTGCAGAGGGAGACTGAACCCAGTCCGTGCATTTACAAAGAAACAAAGGGCAATAAATGACACAGGTTAATGAATATACTACTAAATTACAGGTTCCCAAAGGTTACATGCAATTTCATGACTCTTCTGTCAGTTTAGGATATAATTTGCTTTGAAAAATGTATGAAACAAATCTCCAATTCGCCTAGTTAAAACATCTGCCTGTGCCTCTTTCATTTGGTTCTCTTATTTTACTTGTGAAATTAAAAAGCAGCCATACAGAGCTTTGCTCACCACCCACCCCGCCCACCCTTCTATCAGGAGTACCTGGGTGAAGGGAATAAACAAGGGCAATCACAAACATTATAAGCAGAAGACTGTCATTTGCATTTAAATGGGCAGCTTTGTACAGTGTTCGTGTTGCGATTAGGGTTTTCACCGCACTGACATGATGACATTCACTGTACATTTTCAAAAAAAAAGAAAGAAAAAAGCTTTTCATCAACACTGTTTGCAGCTGCTGTAGAAAATGCAAGAAACACAGGCGGGTGTCATCTGTGGGAAGTGTGGAGGATGTTAAAATGGTGGCGCAGCAGGAGGGAGAAGTCAGTGAAAGCAGGAGGGGAGATGGAGTTGGAGGGTTCTTTACTCTGTCTCTTGAGCTGGAGTGACAAGATTTTCTCCATGTCCAAAATGTAATCTGGCTTGACTTGGCAGCAGTTGGAGTCGCTGAGTCTACTGTCTTTGCTCATCCTCATCCTGACATTTCTCCCTTTATCATCTCTGAAATGTTTGACAGGAAGTCTCTGTGTGTCCTGTAAATATAACTAAAGACTTCAAAAAATATGTAATCTCATGTTTTTAAGCTAGTCTGAGACTGAAAGATGCAAAAAAAAAGAAGTGGGGTCTCAAGACCACAGGTGTGTGTGTGTGTGCGTCTGTGTGCGTGCGTGCGTGCGTGCGTGTGTGTATAATCTGAAAGCATTTGATTTATCCAGTGTGTGAGTACAAGTATGAAATTGGTTGAAAGCGTCTATAAGTGTAGCAGCAGTATAAGTACAGTACAGATTACACGACTGTTTACGTCAGAAGCGCATTTCTCAGCGCATTTTTATTTGAACTGTAGATATATTATTAATGGCTTGGAGAAAAGAGGTGGCTGGGCGTCGGCGCGTGGGGGCACGTTACGTTACGTTACGTTACGTTACCCTATTACCGAGAGAGAAAGCGGAGAGACCAAATAAGAGTGTGTACGCTCCCATGTGTCTCTCCCTAGTGGCGAAAGGATCATTTTTTATAGTGTTGACATGTCCAGTACTACTCTGCCCGCGATATTCAGTGGGCCGCATAACACGGAAGTAACCCGGAAGCTCTGTGATAGGATTCCTAAATCTGCGTGCTGCTTGCCGTAGCGTCGACTGCTAATTGAAGAATTAAATGGCGCAAAAACGCGTTTTAGAATTGTTTTTTTTTTGTTGGGGAAACCACCAGCTAAAGGGAGTCCAGCTGAAGTCCAGCCTGCTCAGGACAGCAGCTCGACCAGCACTCCGTCGCCTTCGTTTGGTTTTACTTTAGTGTCCGAGAGGAGACCGTGGCCGACAGCACCGAGAGGACTATCAACCCGAGCACCGCCACCACTAAGGGGCCTGCTGCTACCAGGAGTCAGGCTAGGACTGACTTGGCGGCATTTGAGGAGCCACCCAACTTCAGTTTTCCTGCCACACGTTTTGGGGAAAGAAACTTCCGGCCGCGCATTTACACCAACTTGGTTTGCTAAATTGAAGTGGCTTCATGAGGTGGCGGAGAGTGATCAGGTTGTGTGTTTTGCTTGTATGAACACAGCGGGGGAAAAAAAACAAACTGATCCATCTTATTCATGGGAAGCAAGGGAATTGCCTTCAGGGTTGACACTATTCGTGATGGAGTACTTGTATGGACTCATGTCCACACTGACATTTGAACTCATTGACATCCAAACCCAACGCCCCAGAGCAAGGCCACCTTTGGATCATTGTCACTACTGGAGCACATTGTCTGCAGCTCAAGGTAAGATATTCGGTTTATTACAAGCTGCCGCCGAGCAGTTTAATAGTCCGTTGTCAACACATTTTAACATCACACTGATATTCATTTGTGGAAAAATATGCATATTCGGATATGGTCTTGTTTGCTGTGCGCAATGAACTTTTGGACCTGTTACAATAGAGGCATACATTTGATGATGCAGTATTGTAAGCTGGTGTCTTCAATAACTTAAAACGTCACAATAATATACATTTTGTTGAAAACAATGTGCATATTTGGATATGTACGTGTGTTGTTGCAAAGCTATGGCATTATTGTGGTTCTGTGTTTTAAAGACCTTGTTGTTGTTGTATGTTTTGGTCTGTGTTGTAGTAGCATTGTTGTAGGCCCATGTTGTATTTGTATGGAGAGACACCGAATATATATTTTTTTTTTTTACAAATTGTCTCGTTTTGCTGCCTCTCTCCGTCATTGACTCAGAAGATAATTTACAGCCATAAAAAGCAGCAGGATAAGAAACTGAACCAAATGACGTGGTCTGTCTGTCTGTCTGTCTGTCGATCTCTTCGCTCTTCAGTCACAACAGCTCCTACACAACAAGCGGCTTCATTACAATCAGCTGATCGGAGTGTCACATGTGCGCGCTCATGTGTTGAAGCATCGGTTTATATACGTTAGACTGTGACCAGCAAATTAAATTTAGTATTAATTTAATACTACAAATAATAAGTTACCACATTAATGGGAAAATAAGTCAAATATCACCTTGACATTTGCGAAGACATGAGCAATCGGCGATCGTTCTGATGATCGTCGATCACCGATATCATCGTCCATCGGCACAACGTAGGCGGCCACACAATTCACTTGAAAGTTGAATTTAACTTAAAGCAAGACTGTGTAACCTTTTGCTAAACCTTTGGGCAGCTACAGGATAATGGTAAAGGCTAAAACACAGTGTAACAGTGGCATGAGTAGAGAGAAGTCATAGTGTATTGAACTGAGCAGTGGTGTGTTTGTGGATTATACAATCAACTTTGATTTCTTCTTTAAAAAGTACCATAGTTTCACTTTAAAGGTTTGTTAAACAAATAAGCTCCACCAGTATTTGCTCTCTTGCAGAGAATATGAATAAGTCACTGTTTACTGAGCAGACACCAGAGGTCAATGTAACGTCAGAAAGACGATGCACTGTAATGACTCTGATGTCAGAGACAGGGGGAAATGAAAATTGAGTTGACGTCAAAACCGACACAGGCTCATTCACATTGTGACGTTTAGCAGACGATGGGTTTTGCTCNAGAAGTCATAGTGTATTGAACTGAGCAGTGGTGTGTTTGTGGATTATACAATCAACTTTGATTTCTTCTTTAAAAAGTACCATAGTTTCACTTTAAAGGTTTGTTAAACAAATAAGCTCCACCAGTATTTGCTCTCTTGCAGAGAATATGAATAAGTCACCGTTTACTGAGCAGACACCAGAGGTCAATGTAACGACTCTGATGTCAGAGGCAGTGGGAAATGAAAATTGAGTTGACGTCAAAACCAACACTGGCTCACTGACATTGTGACGTTTAGCAGAGGATGGGTTTTGCTTACAACAAGACTGTCAGTATTTTATGTCAAGATGTTGTTGGCGTTAGACATTAGGAATCATGGATTGTATTAAAATACATCCATGTTAGCGATACGTTGGATTTTGTTAACTGAACAACACAACTTAAAACCGCCAAAATGTCAGCTGTCGTCAGTATTCTATCAAGCTGTCAAATTAATGTTGGCATTAGATGTTGTTCTGACATAGAATATGGCTGATGTCACAACCTACATTCAACCAAATATCAGCATCTAATAGTTTTGTCACGATATTAGAATTTCAATCTCGATTCCGATACCCAGGAAACAAATAATTGTGTTATCCTGTTAAATTAACACTGCGTGTCCTCAATGCAAACAGGCTATTTCTGTGCATGTGAATGAACATGTGAACGCTAACCAGCCTGGTAAAATTACAGGTTCATATTTACTATCAGTATATTCGTCATATTAGATATCCAGCTGGATAAAATGTTCAATGACACGTGCAACTATTTGCCTCATGTAACCTGAATCTGGATCTGGCAACTTGGTCACATCTGGTTTGTTGTCAAGTAAGAAGTGATTTCACTATATGACAGATGTTACAGCTATTACTGTGATTGCTACTACTTCTCCTCCCACTCAGAAAATAAGGTGAAGCCCCGTGCTGGCAGGTATCTATCCAACTAAATCTCCTGCTGCTGCAGGGATGATGATCTGCCGCTGAGCCTGCACTTCCTGTAGCAGGACAAAAGGACATACTGAGATTTATCACTCCTTCTGCTTTCCAGTTAAATCTTACTCCTACATGCACATTGGCTCATACCTGTTGTTTATCTCTTTTAAAAGAAAAAGCACAATTAAACAGAGCCAATGAAGTGTCTCCGTTCACAGATTCTTATCATCCTTCATAACCCACTCTTCACACAATGTACTTTTTCACTTCCCTCAAGTAGTGACCCTGACCTCCGCATTCTTGAGGGCTTTCTGTTAAGATATTGTTTTTCAATATCTCAAGGACATTTTGACCCCACTTATCACTGCAGCTGGATTGTGTCTTCACGTATCTTCAAGATGAAAATATTTAGTGTTTTGACGGAATTAGAAAGAAGTGACGTCTTAATAGGTGAAGTACCTAAAGTCACTTGACACACACTTGATCATTGTATTAGACGACTCCCATGAATGACCACATGGTGCATCATTTGAATGTATTTAGCATTAAATTGCTGCCTCTGACACATGAAGATGTGTCTATGTGAATATAAATGGCACCATTACTGA